TGTCTGTGTCTGTCTGTGTCTGTCTGTGTCTGTCTGTGTCTGTCTGTCTGTCTGTCTATATGATTTACATATATACATAACACCGCCTTTTTGTTCGAACGTCGCCCTATGCACAAACGCCCCACCTTCCCGCTTCAGCACCAGCTCCAGGTTTGCCTCCGAACACGTGGCAGGGAGGACAAAGGCTGGGCACACACGAGCGCCGTGGGAGGAAGGAGAGGGATGTGTAGGGATGTTTAGGGGGTTTATTTGCACTTGGCATCGGTTTGTTCAGAAGTTGTGCTGTAAGGCACACTGAAAGAGAGCTGAGCTGAGAAACAGTGTGGCCTTTTTGACCGAGCCGCGCCCCAAGCGGCTCCTTCGACATTCTCAACCATTCTTGGACAGTTTCCTTTCCTACCTCCCTCCCACCCGGTAACACGATCTTCGCCCAGCAGCCGCGTGCGCCTGGCAGGGCAGTTGCGTGGCAAAGTCCCATGCGACGGAGCCGGACGCCTGGAGGATGCGTGCCGGTCAAGGTGAGCGACCTGCAAACCCAAGGAAGGAACCTAGATATAGATATATATATATACATAATAGTCATGGCCTCTAACCTAGAAACGATGGCCTCCAACCTACTAATCATTGAGTCATGGCCTCCAACCTAGTAGCGACCTGTAAACCCAAGGATTGGCAGTATGGCTTGCCCAAGAGGCAGCTTCCACACCATGCCCCAAGACATAGATACTTTTGGTCTCTTAGAGTCTCTAAGAAGTCTTGGTATTGGAAGAACTTGGTTTAGAGATGTTTGGAGTGTTTGGCTTTGGGTGTGGTTAGGCGTTTTGAAGGTACTCCGAGATTCCTGGGCAGTTGGAGCATCTGTGACCTTCGGATGGATCTCCCTGCCATGGCCCGGTTCACATGGGCCCGGGAACCAGCGAGAGAATACACTCCAAGAAATCATCACGGAAGTAAATGATCATGGCACCCTCTACAAACAAATGGCCCCATCCATGTAACAATGGATTCTTTCGGGGGAAAGATTGCATGTTCTTCCCAACTCCCTTGCCGTGACCCATCGATCGTCACGTCGATGGTCCACACAGCGGCACCTCTGCCACCGCTGGGCTCCTGCTTTCGATGCCCTCCACCTTGACGCTGATGAAGAGCCGGTGGCCTTCCCAACAATAGGCTTGGGAGGTCTCAATCATGGACCCGCGCCCCCACCGGCCATTTTCTCCGGATCCCAATAGTTGAAGCCTCTTATGCCGCCTTTGGGGTTTTACTTGAACCATCTGCTTGCAGCCCAGAAACCGCTGAAGAAGCTGCCTGATCAACGACCAAGTCCAACACCGATGTTTGCACTAGCAAGTGGTTGGGAAACTCTTTGCGGCCCAGTTGTTTCAAAAACAAATGGTCTTCTACTAAGGGTTGGCAGCAGTAGCACACATGGACTTCCATGGTTCACTCCAAACCAGCAGCTGGCACATGTGCGCGTGCTCGCTCGCCAATATGGCGGTCCTATAGGTACCCCGCGGCTGTTCTACTAGTGGGCCAAGTTGCAGCTGGCATCAAAGAGAAATTTGTGGGAAATCATCCTTCCCTGCTTCATTGCAGGATCTGTGGCGAGGCTCTGCCAGTGGCATTCCAAAGGATCCGAACGGAAGAACCAAAGGATGATATGGCAGAACAAAGGCTGGTCAGGGGGCGGGCCTTCCGTTACCGTCTCGACAAGCGGTGCTACTCCAAAGCATGTTCTTTTTGTTAGTACCTCACTGTCTATTATAAACTCCCATAATAATTAGGATATGAAGTCCCATCACCCCTCTGAATGACACCCCTGTTCTCAGAGAAGACTAGGCACGGCCCCACCGCACCTGTGGACTTGATTTGGTAGCAGTCCAAGACATGAACATCCAGCGTGCCGGCCATCGGCTTCTCCGGCACGAACGGCACGCGGGGCTGACGCTGTGGTGTTTCAGGGTGAGACATCGCAATTCTTTGGAGTTGCTAATGGTAACGGCCTCCAACCTAATAGTTGTGTGGGATGCAGAGACCAGTGTTGCGGTCACATGGACCTGGTTCGAATTCGCATGGACCTGTGTGTTCCACCTGCGGTGGGTCCAGAAAAGGCATGGGATTCTCGGCGGACGGTCTTTGGTGTGGCTGGGCCCAAGCCATGATGTGGTGGCTTGAGCTGACCACCAGGTGCCCCGAATGTGTGGTGGGTCTGCTACCGCCTACGCTCGAGCTTCTGCCGCCATGAGACGCTTTCTGCGAGTCGGAGCCGAAAAGCTCTGGGGGGGGGGGTAGTGGTAGTGACGTGTAGGTATCTCTCAACGTCTCAGTGTGTCAATCTCCATGTCCTTCTAGGTGCTATACATGTATACTATGTAATCATGTGTAAACACAGCCCCCTGAAGGTGACGCCACAGGCCCGCAGCCCCACACCAGCGGAATTCTGGCTTCTTTAATGCTGGTGTGCGACTTCGTGCTTGCAGTAGGGGCGTAAACGAATCCCAAAGTTCAAAAAGTGAAGGTAATCCAAGAACTATCTATCCCATGTTCACACATGTGCGTGCTCAGTGTGCGTTCATGGATTGCAATCAGAAACAAAAGCCCAGAAGAGGCTGATATTCACACATGGTGACACGGTGCTTTTGGAGATCGGTGCGCCTTCGATCACCATCCGCGCCTTCGAGCTTCGGCGCGGTAGACGGCCGGCTCCTCGCACGTTGGACGTTGGAGCCTGGCCTTGCCAATCTGCCAAAAGTAGGTTCTGAAGAGTAAGGCATTCAAAAAAGAACGTCTTAGACTCGGGCAACAGCGCTGAGCGCATCAAAAAGGTGTTGAGTGTGTTTCACGGCGATTTGACACGCCGTTGAAACGACGTTGAAACACGTTGAAAGCCCATCTTCGTGTCCGTCCAGACCTGCGCCTCCCGCAATCCCCAGTGGATGCCCACAACACGACTTGCGGGTTTCCATGCTTCAAAACCGCACCATTCGCACCCACAGGAGGGGCCCCACACAGGGCCCAGGCACCTGGAGAACACCACGGTCTTGAAACCGTCCTTCTGCCCGGATGGACACCACGCCACCCAGGCTGACCTACTTCGGTCCCTCAAGCACGGTGAACATCCACCCACCCATCCCCCCGGGTCGCGACGGATCGCGGTCAAAGCATGTTGCTCACGGATCGATCACACGGATCTTCAGATCCGCACGGACGAGGGCTGAGCCGGGGCTCAGCTGAGCCCCTTCGGACCATGGAACCGGCCACTGCGTGTCAACATGAAATATCTTGAAGTGAAGAAAAACCTACGAGGATAGATCGTCTGAGTCTGCCCTCAGTGCTCCAAAAGCACCGGCGTTTCACAGGCCCGAGCAGCTCAACCCGATTCTAGGGCCATGCAGGCCAATTTAGCATTGACTTGAGCTCCTGCCCTGAAATCTTGCAAGGCTTTCTCCCAGACCATTGAAATCTCCTCTTCACAGATGATTGAGAGCCAGTGAGATTTCGCCGGCCAGGCAACTCATTGAAAGATAGGGCTAGACAAGCCTCTAGACTCTAAAGCAAATTCAACTCTTGCCTCTTGAAGAGCTGGGCTTGGCTCGTGCTTTCTTCGCCATCTCACCGATGCTAATGGCCCTCGGGCCGCCGAAGGCGAGCGGTGCTGACGCCACACTCGGCCGGCCAAGTTTGAAAAGGAAAGAGCCATTTCACATCCAGAAGGCCATCGGCTCTCACTTGGGCCACCTCCGCCTTGCACATGGAAGATACAGCTGGAGGCGGAAGATGCAAAATCATGATGTTCTTCTGCACTCCAGACTCCAGACACGGAGAAGAGAAGAGGAAGCGGAAGATGCAATGGTTTTTCTACCACGCACTTTTGCGCATCTGCCGACGTCTGGTCCGTCAATCTGTCAACTCCTCTCAACCACACGCCCCAGCCTGCCAGTAGCTTCCATGCCACAAGACCTCCACCTGTACTCATGGCCCAGCGGGCCATGAAAGCTGTATTGTGGTCAACCCATCGGAAAGTGCCTTGACTGCTGTAGGATGCCCATCTGCCACCCGAAGAACACATAGACATAGGGTTCCAACACTCCCTCAAATATGGCATATGGGTATTGGCAGTTGATAACTTGCCAGCTACCAAAAATGCGTTTAACACAAAAAAAGTGCTGAGCCTTCTCTCCCTTCTTGAACTCCAGCTCCGTCACAGACTGCTCCAGCACGCGTTCGCGCAGCACGCGGGCGATAGTCTGGGCAACCTCCGACAGCCGCGGTGCTGTGGGGAGATCGGTGAAGAAGAGGGGCAAGACCTTGGCACCAAGGTCCGGTGGAGACGCGCAGACGCGGCGCGCCGAACGAGACAATTCCGGTGCACGGATGCGTATGGAAAAAGCTCGACCCGCTCTGGTCCAGCCCTCGGCGAAAGACAACCTCTTTAGGATGGAAAGCGCCAGAAAACGCCAAGAACCACTGGAAAGACACCTGAGAAACCAGGTGACCCGTCACACTTTGAAAAGGGGCGGATCAGATCAAGATATTCAATTTTTGAGATTGACATTCAAATAGCTCAGAAGTGATATTGGCTCACCACAACCCGCTAACCTCAAAGCCCGCCTGCTCTGAGCTTCGGTACACGCGCAGGCTGCCTTGCTGGTAGCAGTCGTCCTTCTTGCAAAGGCGCTTTGGGATGCCTCTCAGCCACAGGAGGCACAGGAGTCGGGATGATTCATTGTGACTCCGTCATTCCAAGTTCCGCACAAATCGTTGCTTCAGGTCTACTAGCAGAGTGATTGCAACGGATTACGATGGGGTTGCCCTCGACCCTTGGGCTGATGCCACCTAAGGCTCACTGCCTCCCAACACCCCTCGATCAGCCGCCATTCCCACCTTTTCCGTGTGGAGTGCGGCCCATGTGTCCTGGAAAGGCCAGACAAAGGAAGCCGCAGCTCAAACCAGCTCCATAGGCTCGCCCGTAGTTCACATCCGTCGACGCGTAAATCCCCCGTCCAAAGGCCTCGCCATTCCTGGGATATGTTGGGATCGGTCGGAAGGCGCGCTGGCGGTCTGAGGGGAGTGGTGGGTCCTGCCCGAGTCCTGCCCGACATGTCATGGCTTTCCCACTTTTGGCCCTTCCAACCTTCCTGTGCATCTCCTTGCGGTGGACTGCCCGAGAAGGATGGCTGCATGCCGACACCGAAGTGACCACTGTGGCCCTTCAGGCTTTCCAAGTCCTTCCAATCCTTCCCCTAGAATGTGCGACCCACAAACAGCCCTTGCAGATCCTTGCAGTATCAACCGTGAAGCTACTGAAAACCGAAACTGTCTTTGGGCTCTCATGAAGGAGACCCCGTTCTGGCCACACCTGGAGGTCAGTTCTGGCGCTTCTGCCGCCATCCGGTGAACCCCGGAGATCCGTGGTGTTCAACCCCCTTCACTGGAGCCAAAGAAATGCAAAAGGAACGGAAAAGTCAACACCCCAGGACCATCCAAGGGTTCATTTTCTGCCTGGAAGTGGTGTCTTGTGCAGAAGTCCTGCACACCCTTGGATGGTCCTAAAAGCTTTCTCAAGCTCAACGGTTGCTGTCAGTACATGGATCTGCGTTCCATCGGCATTGGTGGCCCCCGGCGGTTTCAGGTTGTTCTCCTGGGCGCGAGCCAGCGCGAGCTACTCGTGCCGTGGGTGCCGACCTGGTGAGTTGGCACCCCTTCCCCCTAGGTCAAGAGGCAAGAGCTTCAGTCCCGAAGTTCCATGGGAAAACAAATCCCCAATGGCCAGGTCCAGCCGAAAATTCGAGACTGCGCTGGGACCTCCTTTCAAAAGAAAGAAAGAAAGAACGAACCTCGGTGAAGAAAGCATCCGAGCATCGATGATCTTGTTGACGTTTTCCTCGCGCGTCCAGTGGTAGACCACTTCGAGCCGGGTGGATTGGCTGCTGCGATGCTTCAAGGACCGCAGTCTCTTGACAAACTCCAACGCCACCTCAGCGGACAGACTCCAAGAAGCAGGATTCCGGGCAGCAAATGGAACATATCCACCCACGGCGGTGGGTCAAGGCTGGGAAGGTGGGTCAAGGCTGGGGTGGCTGTCTCACAGCAAACGAGCTTGGGGGAGGGCACGCTTCTGCCTGTCGCCCTTGCTAGCCAATTCTTGGGAAACGCTTGTGCTCCAATCTGCTTGAGCTCAGTCCACCAATAGATCCGGTCTCCAAACGTGACAAACGTGTCCGGTCTAAGAAGTGGTGCTTGGCAAGGCACATCAAAGTTGCAGACCTCGCGGGGTTGATTCATCCGAGGAATCACCTGGGACGCTGCTTGAAACGCCGGGGAAAAGGATTTGACTGGGAGAGGGGGAAAAGACACATCACTTAAGACTTAGAGCAAAACCAGGCCACTGAAGCTTCAGCCACCTTCTCCGGGGCCCAGCATTGGTAGGGCGGGTCCCACGACACCTGGTACTGCTGGCTGTGGATGCTGGTCACCCGCGCGGGATACCAATGGCCGTCGGACCAACGCACCAGCACTGGATCTCCTGGCGACACGTCTGCGATGCCCTTTGCTCCTAGTAGCGCCCTTGCTCCTAGTAGCGATGCCAGGAGCCCCTAGTAGCTTCTTGTTCCTACAGCATCCTGCAACCAATCCTTTTCCGTCCAATTCTCTGACCAGAAATCGTTGAGGGCCTCCAGACAGGATGAGACACCACCAGTCCAGTACTCCCATGTGACCAAAAGACTCACTACCACGAGACGACACTGGGGCGCATTAGATCAGAAAGGCTCACGGCTCCGATCGCTCGATTTCCTGCACTCCTTCGCCCATGACGCTGCGATTCCCCGGCAAGCCCGAGCCGCCCGAGCGCGCCATCTCCACGATCTGCGCCTGGGGTTCGCAGCTGCCGCAAGAGATAAGGCCAGCGCTCTCTGTGATGTGTGACTTGCACAAATTCCTGATTCATTCGTGACTTGGTTCCTACAAGCCTCGGAGCTTGGATGAATCCTTTGCTGACATGGCCTTCAGAGAAAAGCATGACCGCAAGTGTAGTCGGGGTGCCCCTGTCACATCCACTCAGTGGATGGGACTAAACACCACCCCCTTGTGGACTCCTGGGATGACCATCCTCCTATTGAAAAAAAGAACGAACAGCAAAAATGTCCTGCTCACCTGCGCAGAGATGGTAGACCACGAAAACTCCTCCCAATTCCCACCCGAATGTCCCACCGTTTGGATCCGTTCCGTCCCGGCTTTCCGTCCGGCTTTCCGTCCGCGTCCCCTCGGAGTCCGACCGGGGTGTCCGGACCGTAATGTCCACTTCTGACGTTGAACTCTTCAGGTCTTCATCCAGCATCTTCTCATGCATCTGGTGCGCAGCCTTGTGATCTGCCAAGTCCTCGGTCATGATGTCAAGGTCCATTGAAGAAGACCTATATTAATATAGATGGGGAGATGCCACATACCATATACCTACCTCTTGGTTGTGCACGACTTGGGGCATCCCCTCTACTAATCATAATCCACCGGCAAAGGCTGTAGGGGCTAGGCCACAACCTCCCACCGCCCCATGGAGGGTGGTATCCAAGCTCAGCCGAGGTGCTGACGCAGCAAACCTGAGACCAAACTGGGCACCGCCCGCTGTACGACATCCGCCAGGGGGTTGGTGGTCCTACCCTGAAGAAGGTCGGTGGTGGTAACTATCAATGAAGCATACTATCTGCATCTGAAGATGTGGATACTTTTTGCCCCTTACCCTGAGAGGCTGGCACCAATTGAGGAAAACGTTCGAGCTGTGGACGGTCCAGCAGCATTGCTTACAGGGCTTTCCACCACCACGAAGACCAGTGGCCAAATCCACATGCATGCCGGGAGGCAGAACACCACAGACCTGCTCAGGGAAGAAAGGCCGTGAAAGAAGCAGAATCAATAATCCAGGGAAGAAAGGCAGTGAGGTTCAACACTCATGGGATCTGCGGCTCCTTTGATGAAGATGACGATGCACCTGGCAGAGCACAACGATGTCATGTAGAAAAAAAGGGTCGTTCAACCTCCTGCACGACCTCAATGTTTGCTTGGGTAGTGGAGTTCTGATGAAGTGTGCTGTAGGCATGACATCTTGCACCACACTCACTAGGCAAGATCGTTTTTTCTCTCTTGCATTGGGCACATCGTCGAATCGTGTCTTACAACAGCTCCTTCGCGTGGCCAAGCAACTGTGGAGTTGGGAGTGCTCCATGAAATGCCTGAAGAGCACCCACCTCAGTGAGTGCAAACCACCGAGAGGCACCACTGGCCGCTGTCGCACCACTGCTGGAGGGCCCCACTTTGTTCGGAAAAGTGACCGAAGGCTTGCGAGATCTTGGAGACAGCCAGCATGGCCAGCTCACAAAAGTGAGCCCACCTGTGATTAACAGCCCCCCCTAATGAACAGAAGCTGTCCAATACAAATTTCGAGGGATTGACTGTGCAGGGTCTTTCCATTGATTTCGTCTTTAGGCCAAATTCGCCGAGCACAAGCCAAGCCGTGGGCGGTTTGCAACCCACTCACTCAAGTCTCCCTTCTGGTTCTGGCCATTTGCTGTTGGTGGACCATCGCTCTGGATCCAAGCTGCTTCCCACAAACTTCACACTCAATCTCTTCCAAGTCATCGGTGTCTGGCATCTTGGCAGCCTCCCAGCATGCAGAAGGCAAAGCAAAACATGGGTGTATTAGCTTGGGTCGGGGAGAAAATGACATCTTTTCACATTGCCTGATTCTATCTGCTACGGATCACTCGGCTAGCATTGAAAAAGGGTTCTACGGCAATCTTCCAGTGCTGAGGGAAAGAGATGAGAATGAGTGTGATGCACCTACAAAATACAGTTTACAAATCACTGCCCTCATTGAAGCTAGCCTATGATACCTCTCTGTCCCCCTGAAGCTTGCCCACAGATTGTGAGGAGTGAAGTCTGGGAGGGAGTACAATATGCACTGGCCAACCAAAAAGCTTCAACTTCAAAGGGCTTTGCAGTGCTGCATCCAAATGTCCAAGTATATAAATCTTGGACAAAGAAGTATCACTCCAGTCCAGTGCCAATCGCCCTGGTTGAGTATCACAGGATCCCCCTGAGCTTCTTGCGGTTCTCCATGTCTACCTCAAAACCAAGCCAAACATCTCTTCTCCCTTGGTCACCCTCGGACAACGCGCCAACGCACGGCCTCGTGGGTCGCCAGGTGCGTCATGAAGTGCTCGAAGGCCACGTTCGCTCCGCACACCTCGCAGGGCACCTGGGCCGGTCGTCCGGGACCAAGGGCAAGGCCGTTCAGGTGAGTTCAGGTGGTCGTGGTCCCGTGCCATGTCTGCATCCCATGTGGCTCTTGGGCAACCGCGGCGTAGACATGGAGGGAACCAATGGCCCGAGAAGACGAGAAGTGCCAGTGTCCTGCAGCCAAGACTCGGTGGCAGTGTCCTCAGTTGCACTGTGGGGGTAGCTTCTTGCTACTAGTAGCGATGCCCTTTGTTGCTAGTAGCGTCCTTCCGGGGAGCCAGATGGTGCCTGCTTGGCCGGTCTAGGCATGGTGCCTCGGACTTGGAGGGTGTTGGGCCCCGAAGAGTCGGTGTTTGTTTGTTCCAACCCTGCTGCCAAAGACGAGGCGCAAGGATGACCACATCGCCTTCATCATCGGACACCTCCAAAGGGCGCGGGGGCCGCGCGGCGTCGCTCGGGGTCAACGGGCTACAGCAAGCAAAGCTCATTGAGGTTTGTGCGCCCAGGACCCCCCAAAGAGAACCCGGCCAATCCAAGTGCCACTAAAAAGAGGATCCAACCAAGACGAAGAAGAAGAAGAGGAAGAAGAAGAAGAAGAAGCAGAAGCAGAAGCAGAAGCAAGAAGAAGGGAGAAGAAGAACAAGATGGAGCCCACGAACCCGAATGCAAACACGATCAAAAAGCTACATATGTCCAAATGACACTCTTGTAGGACACTCTTGTGGGACACTCTTGTGGGTCACTCTTGTAGGAAACTCTTGTGGGACACTCTTACGGGACACTCTTGTGGGGCACTCTTGTGGGACACTGTTGCGGGACACTCTTGTGGGACACTCTAGTAGGACACTCTTGTGGGACACTCTTAAGGGACACTCTTGTGAGACACTCTTGCGGGACACTCTTGTGGGACACTCCTGTGGGACACTCCTGTGGGACACTCATTTGGGACACTCTTGTGGGACACTCTTGCGGGACACTCTTAAGGGACACTCTTGTGGGACACTCTTGTGGGACACTCCTGTGGCGGGACACTCTTGTGGGACACTTGTCTTGTGGGACACGCTTGTGGGACACTCATACGGGACACTCTTGTGGGACACTCTTGTGGGACACTCTTGTAGCAGACTCTTGTGGGACACTCTTGTGGGACACTCTTGTAGGAAACTCTTGTGGGATACTCTTGTAGGACACTCTTGTGGGACACTCTTGTAGGACACTCTTGTGGGACACTCCTGTAGGGCACACACTCTTCGTACGAGACTTCCTCCAAAAGTCACGCTGCGAGGCTGCAAGACGAGCGTTTCGTACGAGACTTCCTCCAAAAGTCACGCGTCAAGTCTCAAAAACGAGCGTTTCTTACGAGACTTCCTCCAAAAGTCACACGTCAAGTCTCCAAAACGAGCGTTTCGTACGAGACTTCCTCCAAAAGTCACATGTCAAGTCCCCAAAACGAGCGTTTCGTACGAGACTTCCTCAAAAACTCACATGTCAAAGTCTGCAAAACGAACGTTTCGCACGAGACTTCCTCCAAAAGTCCAGCGGAAACACCCATCGGAGCACACACATCACGCAGCCCTGCCAAGCAGTTTCGCGAGTCCAGCCCCTCCAAACGACACCCGCTCACACGCCAATCCCAATGCGGCAGCGACATTCACCTCTACCACAACTCACAACCTCCCGATTCCCTGCGCCGGCCACGAATCTTTCCGCGTCCACACGTCTAACGCGCACAAAGTACTGTGCCTGCCACGAAATGTCACCTCCGTCACACATCGCAACCTCACGGTTCCTTGCGCCTGCCACGAAAATCTCACTTCCACACCTCAAAACCCGCACAAAGTCCTGCGCCTGCCACGAAAAGTAACAATGTCATCTCATGTGAGCTTCAACAAAATTTGCACCACACCACACGTTTGGAATGATTTCGACCCGTTCTGAGCACACTCCCATCCACCAAAATCGGCATTTCAGCTGAGACTTGTCACGAAAACAGAGCTTCGATGCCACACCCTGAAACGCAAATCCCAATGGCACGGCCACATCCAACACCCCAAAAACACGACTCTCCAAACGCTAATCCCAATGGAACTGCGTAGCAAACTGCGGATCTCACAAAACGCTGCGCCTGTGCAGCGAAACGCATCACGCGTCTTGTGCCACATCCCATTTTCATGCAAATCACAATGGAATAGCGGCGCAAACTGACACGTGACACATCCATGAAAAGTCACTTGCAAAAGTTTCCCCCAATGGCAGCGCCTTAGCGACCTACTGCGGACGGTTGCGAATGGTTGCGAACGGTTGCGGACGGTTGCGAACACAGAAGCAACGGGTCGCGAACAAGACTCTACCCCCAGACCCCCAGAGTTAAACGAGAACCCTTCGCTACGCATTCAGGAAAAAGATAGGAGCTAATGCATTCCTCCCCCAGTCACAACATAGACATGCCCAATTCCATCCTTCGGCCGGTTCCGGCCTCACCCTGCGTCCGCCGCCGCTTCCGCTGGGGCGTCGGCAAATCACACCTGCGAGGGTCGGGCGGACCGAAGGCACGCGCGGCCGGGTCGGGGCCTGGCGCACTCGGCCGAAAAGGAGGGGAGGTGAACTATTGGATCGAGAATCAAGGTGGTTTAAGGGGTGAGAACATCCTACCCGCATCTACCGAACACCCACGTATTAGGACGTCCTTCTCCAGAGTGCGTGTTAGCATGTGTTAGCACTGACCGAGGTTGGCACGACGTCAATATGACTTTTACAAAGGGTTGGCCAATTTCATCGGCTGGCGGGTAGATATGGATGGAGTGAGGGGCGTGAGTGGAGTGCGTGCGACTGGGCCTTGGGGAATTCACGTCGCGGTGTCATGTTCGTCGCTTCAGAGAACGGCGAGCTCGTAGGAACACGCGCATGTACCAATAGAACTTGGTTGATCTTCCTGGCTCTTGTACCGGAAGCTTTCCTCAGTACAGATCCCCGGCCGTTGATATACACCTTCCAACAACCTGCTTCTTGCCCGGCCTGGACGAGGACGAGGACTGGCGCTTCGGCTCGCAGGCCATGGCGGCGGCGCCGCGGGTGGGGATCAGTCGTCCGAACAGCGACGAAGCTTCAGTAGGGGGTGTGGCTGATTGCGTGGCTGTGAGAAGGGGTGGGAGAAGCCCACTAGGTGACGTTGGCATGGGGATCAACTCCATCGTGGGTTGACTGTGTGGAAAGCTCTATATGATATATATGGTCTGTTTGGGCTGGTCGTTCAAAAATAGATGAAATTGTCTTACTATGGTCTACTGAGTGTACTGCCTCCAGGGTGATGGTTGTAAATGTGTCTTTTCCTCACCTCAATGTTGGTCTCATTGCCTGACCTTTACATACAAACACCCCTGCACCAAGCGCGGAGCCCAATAGCATGGTAGCGTTCAGACCACCGCAATGCTGGTGGAGAGCCCACCGCTGTTCCAGGGTTTTGAACCACATGTGAAAGAGATCCACAATTTGGATCTCTACACAGTTGATTCTTCCAGGACGGACTCGTTGCGACCTAAACGATTTTTGGGCGACCTCACTCTGTTCCTCGATGGATGGCGAACCGTCGCTCACGCGGCCCGGCGGCCCCGTGGACCGGAAACACCCCCGGATTCACCCCGAAAGAGGTCAACTCCGTGTTTGGGCTTCCTGGAGGGGCATCTCGAGCGCCAATCCTTCCAGCTCTCCATGCAAGGCCTCAAGCTCAGAAGTGACTGCTAGCCCTCGAGACATGCGGACTCATGCACACACAACCCCCGGCAAAAGCAAGAACGCAACAACTGATGCATGCGTATCAAGTCCATTGCGGAGGGGAGATGGATTTGTCAAGATACCCCCCATGCTTCTGACCGGAAATGATCTGGTGGCAAGAAGGAGGGCAGCACTGAACTTGAGGGCCCCCCTTTGCTCAAGCAAGGAAAGCTCAGGCAGCCGAAGGAACCTCACTCCTGACCATCAAAACAGCTCTTCCAACTGGACGTCGCGGCTTCGCAGAACGCTTCGCAAAGTGCTTCCTCCCTCCGGCACCGCCCCCTTCGGCCTCCCGCCGCTAGCTTTCGGCGTTGCAGGAGCCGCGGAGGACGCGTGTGGGAGCCCAAAAAAAGGATCAGTGGCGCGGGCACTGAGGGTCCGGTGAAAGCTTTCCTCAATTGCAGTTGTTGTTGTTGTTGTTGTTGTTGTTCTTCTTCTTCTTCTTCTTCTTTTTCTTCTTCTTCTTCTTCTTCTTCTTCACCATCTATCTATCTATCTACATATATATATATATATATGAATGTCTTTCTTTTTTCTATCTTGCTATCTTTCTGTGTGTGTGCGCTATTCCATTCTCCAAAAATCAAAGGCCTCCGACCTTGAAGAAATCACCGCGGAAAGCTCCGAAGGTTGAAAGCCTTCAACCCACAGTGGATCGAGAGTAGATGGCACTTGGTTTATATGGACCCCCATCTTTAAAAAAAAATATAAAAGACATGTAGGGGTGCCAGTGCCATCTACTCTGAAACCATTGTAGTTGAATTAGCTGTTGGGATCCGGACCGCAGCAATGCTAGAGGAGACCTTCGGGTGTAGCTTGTCAGGCTTAAGCTCCAAGTCCTCGCCGCAAGCGGAACATGCACTCTGCACTGGCGTTGGTTGGGGAAAATGTGATCCAATGGGCCAAGGTTCATGAACTCTTATATCAATCATCATGAACTTTGAGAGGGTCGTGGTTGTTGTTGTTGTTGTTGTTGTTTGGTGGTGGTGGTGGTGGTGGTGGTGGTGGATGTTGGTGGCATCCATCTTTTTTTGTCCACATGTCACATCATGAAAACCTCTTGGAGTCACTGCACAAAGCAGGATGAACTGTCCAAGCCAAGTCCTGATTGTTGAGGTCGGCCACCTCTTCCTGGCCCGGGAGCTGATCCTGGAACCAAGCAGCGAAACACGCACATTAACCTCAAACAATGCAGCTCGAACAGTCCTCGACAACGAGGGAGTTCAAAAAACGGTCAGCCTCTTCCTCAGACGGCGCCGGCTGATCGCAGGCCTCCACAGTAGCGACCGGCTCCAAGCCCAAATCTTAGCCCCACACCCCTTGCTCGGGCACTCTCATGATCAAATAAAGGTGTCCCAAGTGCCACCCCGCTCTCCCGGCCAAGAGCGAATATCTTTGCAAAGCTGAACATCTTTGCGGCCACCAGGGCTCCCCCAGCGGCATGACTGCATAAAGTTGAAAGCATGCCCCAGAAAAGGCCTTTGAAAGAAGATGCATCAAACAATGCCAGGTTTTCAAGCAGTCCTGAGCCGTAAAGCTTTCCCTTTCCAACCCTTCTTTCATCTTTTCATCTCCCTTGCCCTGAAGCATGATGCACGTTAACGCCGTGCGCTGTCCGTTGCAGACTGCAGGGCACTCTGAGGTGCCCCCACCAAGCTGCTCACAATAGCTTGTGGGTAGGGCGCGGGCAGCATCCGCTGAACTAGCTGCACCAAGCGCAAAACCGCTTGGCCCAAGAAGCTGCTGGGCACCTTGCTTCCCAGCAGGTGGAGAGCGCAGCACTGACAGGCACCCCGGAGGGATATATATCAAAGGAAGAAACTCGCCCCCAAAAGTCCACGACGATTTAAAATTGACTTTAGTTGATCCAAACAGGACTTCCTGTTTAAGAATGGGAGAAACCCGCGCAAAATCCCCTTGTAGGTTGAAGATGTTGAACCTGGGAGCTCGAGTCATTGTCCGGAAAAAATCCGAAAGAAACAGAGCCACCATGAAACGACCGAACACATCGGCTTCCCTAGGCCCTAGGGCCCTAGGCATCGATCACTATCACATGGAAGACAAGTCCAAGGCCTTCCCCAGTTTTTGAGGCCATGGACATCCAGCAGGACGTACCAGGGACATCTCTCAGGAAGCGAACATAAGCTAACCAGTTTATCTCCGCCAAGCAGCCAGGACGATCGCACTCCCTCGGCCCACCAGCACGCATTCGGTGCCCACCTCCTGATGAAGCCGCGTGGCCAGAGCGCGGTGCCCGGTGTTTGTTCCGGTTCTTTCTTTGGGGAGGGACGGCCGGACGGGCTCCATCCAAGATCCTGCCCAAACCCTGGACTTCAAGACATGTCGATCTCCCGACTCGCCATGTGGAGCAAGATGGATGTGACCTGGGCTGCCTCTCGTCTCACCTGAGTCCGAGTCCTTGGATCTCAAGAACACCACCACCCTCGTCCGCTCCTTTTGAATGAAGGAGAGGAACTTCCGCACGTGACGCATCGAGGGCATCTCAGGAGGGTCGGACGGTCCAAGCCGTCCAGACAGTCGCCGGTTCTCGTCTCCAAAATGGGCGCTGAACCGGTGGACCAGGGACCGTGCAAAGCACCAGTCCTCTAAACAGGTGATAATTGGAAAGAAAAATGCGAATGCCCTCTCATGTCCTCTCTCTCTCTCTCTCGCTCTCTTGGACGGCCCTCACCGAGGCGGCCCGTGCGTCGGTGCGGAGCAGCAGCACCTGCAGCATGCATGCTGAAACGCCCATCCATTGTCCATCTCATCCTTTTGGTCTTCAATGAGGAGCCCCAGTTACGCCCAGTTATTCGTGAGCAAAAAGAGTTTTATGATGTTTTATAAGACGTTGTGGCTGATGTTCCGTCCATCGTGTTTCACCCTCACAGGTGCAACACCTTCATACCAAAAGAATTGTAGCGGACCTCTCAACCTCAACAGCCGAAAAGACAGTGTCCGGTGTGCCCGTTCACCCCACCCGTCCCTTTCCGTTCGGCGCCCCGCCATCTCGGGTCGCTGCGCCAGGTTCACCAACACACGCCTGGCACCACGTGAGGGAAGAGCTGCAGGTGTCTGGGGGTGGCAAGGCACCGGGGGATGCTGGGTGGCCGGCGGGGAGGCGGCCGATGGTTACATCGACCCATCTTGTCCCAAAGTCCCCAAAACGAGCTGTGGATCTGAGTGACTCAAGGTCTGCCCTTCAGCGATCGTCACATTGGGCCCCCCCCCACAAAAATAGAAAACAAGAACGCGCCGCGAGGGCTTGTTGAGCTCACAGTGCACCCGCCTGAGTTGTTCCAGGATCTCATCCTCAGCGGCACGAAACACCCAGCAATGTATGTTGGCCTCCAACATTGAACCATTTGCCTGCAGCCCCTCATGTAGAGCTAACCTGGTACATGTCATCTTGTGATTTCACATGCTCTCCCTACACCAGCCGCGACACACGAATGAGATTCGATGCCAAAAATGCTGAGAACAACAGCAAACTTGCAGTGCGGGCGGCCATTTCTGAATTTCAGAACTGGAACAGGATTGCCAAATTGGGGTGACCTCTCACACAAACACCATTGAATCATCCCAAGAGATATGAACAAAATCAGGAGAAAGAAGAAAAAGCCCTCCAATCATCGAACCCTTCAGGCTTTCAGGCTTTAGGCCTCAGGTGTTATATCCATCTCACGCCGCGGCTCCAATGGTCCATCCTCGATGGGTGCGTTGTTCACCTCGATGTCCAAGTACCCCGTGTGGCCCTGATCGCGCCCAGCCAAGGGACGATGAGAAAAGGGAAAAAGGGCAGCTTTGGATCACAAGGTGCCAGAAGTCTGATGATGATCACCCCAAAAACCCTAAGTTTCTGGACCAAATGCGACTCCGAAAACGCGTGTCTGTTTTCGTGACGAGGAAGAGGCTGGTGCCGGGAAACCTGGAGCGGTACCACATCAGCCGGGTTCCAGGGATTTGGCTTGTGTGCCGATGATCCTCACAATGATAGGCAACTAGACATCGGCGTTGACGGAAGAGTTGAAGAGATCTCCTGCACCAGGAGCTGCTAGCCGTGTGATTGTCTTCATCAGAGTTCTTCTTCCAAGCGCAGGGCTACCCAAGGGCAAAGAACTGTTGCAAAAAAGCTTCCAACCAACCAACAAAAGATCTTTGTGCCGGTGCGAACCTGGCGCGACCACCCCCTGTCCTCTGCCACCACCGCTTCATGGAAACCCCACCTCTTCATGAAAGCTCATCTGGGCAAATGGCACCTTGAAGCGGTCAGGAGGATCCAAGGTGGCCAATAGCTAAGGCTGGCACAGATCAACACACTTCCCTCCACTAACATGGGCTCTCATACCCCATGTTAGAAAGATAGTCGAATAGTTGTTCAAGGGGGCCCGTTTCTCTCTAATCTTGTGCTTCTCTCCCAAACGAGAAGCACCTAACAGCCAGAGCTTCTTAGCTCGGGCCTCAACAAACCACGGACGGTTTAACAGAAAAAGCCCAAATACATCGACTCTCCACGGCCGTATCAAACATCACCTCCAGCCACAGCTTCCCCCATCACCACTCCCCTACTCTTCAGGCCTGAAAGGTGAAGGGCGACTCGATCGCTGCGTGCTGCGGCGGGATGTCAGACAACACAAAGGGGCAGCCCCAAACCGTCCACCTGGGCACCGGTCGTGACGGGGCATGGCACCGCCCAAAAAATACAGTAACACCATCGAGAAAAGGCGGTATGTATATATATATATATATAATACCAAGAACATGGTTTTGCACCTGGGTGGGGATGTTTTTTGGGATTTTTGGGTCCCACCTGGCTTTGGCTGTGGAAGGACACATTTTCTCCGCGAAGAGTGAAGCACCCTGTCTATCTGTGCGGGATGGGGATGGGGATGGGGGCTTCTTGGTCGCACGACCACGAGCGTTTCACGCAGAAGACGCATGGCCGACGGCTGGTAACGGCGTTTCCTTTCGTCACCAGGGGACGGGAAGAGAATAACAAATGGAAGATGTTTGAGTCAGCCACACTCAACTCGATGCAAACATCCCGCCATTGAACTTGACTTACCGTAACTTGCTGCAATCCCTGCGTCTTTGTCTGCGAGTGCAAAGGGATGGGAGTGGCTAAACAAGAAGGTACATGAGCAGGGATGTTCCCGCCGCTTCATCAGCGAAACATAAGGTTGAAAGGGCTCAAAGGTTCCTCACAAAGGTCATTCTCCAACCGAACTCCAGCCCCGTGGACTTCCAAAGGAATCCTTTGCAAAATAGTTCCATCAAGTTCCAATGCACAAAAGTGGATTCTTTTGGTGGGGCGGGGTTCCCCGCTTCACCTCGACCCACCAACTCAGACCGACTGCTTCCGACCCTCACCGGAACCTGCTGAGCCCACGGCATCCCTCTGGGAGGGGACGGCTTGCCACGAAAGGGGGGCCCATGGCCCGAGTACTGGAGCGCCAGGGTTTCGGAGGTCACTCAGGGTCCACTAAAGTCTGCTAGAGGCAGCAGCTCCCCTTGCTGGTATCATACCTGACGCCTTTCTGAAGCACGAGCTCGAAAAGGACATGGAATGTCTACAATTGGAAGATCTGCTTGGGCCCTCCCGGGTGTAGAAACACTCTTCAGCACTTGAGTCTGCTTAGTCACTTCTTAGTCACTGTGACCCCATCCAGTCCCGCCTTTGGAGTCCCAAAGACCTTGGCCTGGCCAGATTGGCTTTCCAGGACCCATCCTTAGTGCATGCCCTGGTTCGAACCGGAGGGCACCGGAGGGCACCGGAGGGCACCGGAGGGCACCTTTGGGATGAACACTCCTCATTACCAAAACAGTGAGGATGGTTCTTCCACTGGTGCGAGGATCATCCAAAGAAGACTATGTGGCATTTTCTTACCAAACGACTTTCGTTCGCCCAGCTTTGGGATTGGGTAAGCAAAGGCTTGGCTTTCGTTTCACTGCCTTTCAACCCGTGCGGGCGACAATTTGCTGGGTGGACTTGATGGACTTGAACTCAGACTCCAGGGGCCTGTCAGATGACTGACTCAATGAGCTGAGCTCGGGCATGTTCGTGCAAACTCTCGCGCTCTGGGGGCCTGACTAGTGGAATTTCCCTCACCCGCCTGAAGGCTGCTGAGTGAAGAGAAACTCAACCTGTGGTGTGTATATATATATATACACATACTCCCTACCACATAAATACATTTATATAGCTTTAAAACCTTGTGGCGCATGTCGTCTACAGCAGGACCTGTTCCATCTACAGCTTCACTTCCAGCCTCGCGGAAGACGAAACGGTCCTGGCTTCGCACCGTTTCTGGGGATCGGGTGTGTTGTTTCTGTGTGCCTTCAGGCAGTGACCTACACTCCATCCAGTTGATGGGCAAGGCGCCAAAAATCACCCGATGTGCGCCCCATTCCCTCCAAGGTCCGGCCGCTCCTTGCCGTTGTCGTGATGAAACTTCGATAATCTGGAGAACTCCCAGGTGCCATCGGAGGCCGTGAAGGTGAAAACCACGCCATCCTCAGCGCTGCGCTTGCGAGTCGACACCGCGAAGCGAGGCGACCACGAGGAAAAGCGAACCGCCGGCATGGACACAAGGGGCACACGTGGGAGGGAAGTGTTGCGAATGTACAGTAAGTATAGTGCTAGTCCTCTAGCTTTGCTAGCTGCCAATCTTTGATAGCCACTTCTTGGCATGTGAGACGGATGGCAAGACACCCAAGACAGAAACACTTCCTCAACGGATGCTCGCTTTGAAGGACCCCAACCTCGAACTTCCACAAATCTAGCTCTGGCCTTGTGATTTACCAGAACCCACCATCCCACCTTTGCATCTCCCCAGGCCGGCTGAGGCGCCAAATCACAGATCAAATACAGGACAGACATGGGAAGAAACCTGCCAGACTCGGCCAAGTGGAGTGATGGACCAGGGGTTGAACGGGGCACCTGAAACGCGCCTCACAACCTTTTGGTGACGCACCGACGGGGGCAGTTCTGAGCAAAAGCAGGGCATGAAGGCTATCTCTGAAATCTGAAACCAGTGGTTCTTGGCCTTGCCCCCACTTGACCTCTACCCTTGCAGTTCCAACATCTGGAGGACAAGTCCAGTAGAAATGCAAATGTCGATATCATGGCTGCTTGCTGAGACTCAACTGGGGAGGGTAGGGTAGGCCGGGCATTTCAAGCTGCCACGCTTGAAACGAACCAAAGCAGAATCCCGACAAAATTGGCACACTCAAAGCCACTAGCTCACAATGCGGAAGCTAGCAGCCTTGTGGCACCTGGGACGGCCTTGTGACGGCGTTTGAGAACGTCCCGAGATTCCAAGCCCGGGAGTCACCACATGCACTTGAGGCTTGGGGTTCAACTCCGCCGGATCTAGGAACATACAGGAAGCCTCCGGTGGAATGCCTCACGGCATGCCAGCTTCCGGCTCTGCCATGGACTCTCTAATCCAAATGTCTGCATGTTCCAAACTTCCGCGGCAGCTGCTTTCCAATATCTATATATATATATAGTACTCTGATCCAACCACCCGTTCTTTAGTCCACTTCACAGTCGCGTCACCGTCGCGTCACCTGCGACCGGTCCGAATTTCTATTGGATAGAGGGTCAACACCAGGGCTCCAGCCTACTTCTACCAGCCCGGCTGAGCCGGCGAAAAAAACACCGCCTGCAAGGAAGCGCCCATCCGTAAACCTTGGAACAAAGGCTTGAACTACTCAGGTGCCTTCACCCCTACATTTAGGTGGTTGGGTTCCTGTGGGTTTGACCCGGCAGATTCGTCAATTCCAAGAGAAGATTTGGACCCGCTGACCTGCTGCTCACCTACCTTGAGTGGGTAGCTGGTGGGTGGAGGGCAAATCAAGGATGTTTTGGCCTGTAGAATGTCAGACGGAAGGTGGAACAGCACTGCGAAAGCATGTAGTTATTTTGACTGTCTAGGTTAATACGTTGTACATGTCTTTGCGTTCTTGCACCCCACACCCCCGATGTGAGACGGTAGGACCGCGCGCTCACACACCTCTCAACTTGGGACCGGGCCCCTCAATCCGTGCAGCTCCGTCGCACGCCCCCAACTACTTGCGAGCACTGGCAGTGCGACCCCAGCATCCAAATCATTGGAAACACCTTTTTTGCGATGGCAGCTTCTAGCTACTAGTGGTATAATGGCCTCCAACCTACTAGCAATGGCCTCCAACCTTGTAGCTTCTGCTCCGCCTGTGGGTGTTGGCTGCTGTACCCGGCTGACATCCATCGGCTGCACGAACCTCTTGGGCGAAGGGCGATGACCTGCGAAACGGACCTGGAACTGCTAGGACCGTGGGATTCGGCCGTGCTAGGCTTTTTGGTGCCGGGTGCTTCAGATGGCTCTGGAGCCGAGAGCGCGCGGGCTGCTTCACAGTCTCACACTGTTTTACTGAAATGTTTACAAGTGATAAGTGACAAGCACATGAGGAAAAGTGTTCCTTCTTGACGTGGCTTCCTCCGGTGTTCCGAACGCCCGTCGGCGCCATGCTGTGCCGTGTGGCTCTCTCTCGCTGCGGCGCCATGCTGATCTCGCGAGGCGAACCTTTTCCCACCATCGGCCGGATCTGCCAATGATAGCCCCCAAGGCGGTCCTCGGCTGAGCAGCCCACAAGGATGCCACATGTGGATGTGCTTTTAAAGTAGTAGGTTATCTTCGTCGTAGCTTAGCAACCCATGAACCGTTCTTTTTGTCGGAGCCATTGAATAAGAAGAGAAACACTTCCAAACCGGAGGCACGTGCCTACTTGGCCTACTTCTTGAAGCCACTACAAGTTCACAAGCACCCATTCAAAATCATGCTTTCAGAACTTTCAGGATACCAAAAAGTTACCAAAACACCTCTTGCCTCTTGCAAATGTGTGTGTGTGTGTGTGTGCTCCTTGGGGGTCACTGCACCGTTTCTCGCCTGCGCTCCAAGACCGCCACTCCAGCACCCCAAACTCTGCCAAGTTGCTGCTTCCAGGGATGACTCTCATTCAGTCAAGGGCCCCTGCTCACTGCTGTTCCCATCATCACTGTCATCTTCATCCTCCCCTTTCTTCATCATCTTCGCACCTGCACAGCATCTCACACGCTCCCCCCATGCGAGGCGTCGGAGGCCGTCCTCGCCGGCACCGACCACCCCGCCTGCGATGCCGCAAATGCCCAAGCCCGCCGCGGAACCACCCACGGCCATGGCCCAGCCGAGGGCATTGGAGTTCTCACCTGTTGCCACCGTTCCGCGGTTCCACCGTGCGGTGGCCAAGACGGGCGGCGGCGGCAGAACCACCCGTGCCGTGTAGGTCGATCCACCAGACCGGATCCGCTCAAGTACAAACAGGCTCTCAACTTGCCAAGTTCATCCAAGTTCCCGAAGCCCACGTTCGCTGCCAATGTCTGCCAAAGCCTATATATATAATATATATAAGACTTCCCCGTTTGGGCAACCCTCTCGTCCAAAGCAGCCAAGCTATCGGATTGCAAACCACACTGATCCTCTCTTAGCAAAGCTATCATCAACATCTTGAGGACACCTAGGGGTCCGCCACAACTCACACTAGCAAAGCCAGCTCCACTCCTGCACTTATCCATTCCCTGCATGCAGGTCGCCCAGCACATCCTTCACACCAGCGGAGTAAGCCTTCTTCCTAGGAAGTGGGGAGGTTGAAGCCATCGGACGGTCAAGACATCCATAAAGAGGAGCTTTTTCCCTCTGCTCCCTCCCTTGCCTCGTCTTGGACTTTTCTTCGGATGAGCGCTTTACACTCCAAGAGCTTTCCTCATCCATCCCCCCATGAGCTCACACTCCTTCCAAAAGACTTCTTGCTCTTCTCGCCCCTTCATCCCCACCCTCCGCCGCCCTGGGCGGACCGTTCGACCTTCGTCCGCTCGGACCGTACCGCGTCATGCGGGGCCAGGCGTCGGACAGCCGGCCTCGATGGCTTGCTCCTGCGTCGGTAAGGTCGCAGGGCATCCTGCCACGATGTTGGTCACCTGGCGATCGGAACGAGGTCTGACGGAACGAGGTCTGACGGACCCATATCAAGGGACTTGGATTCTCACCCATGGCGCAAATGAACCGATGAACCTGAAGTGCTGTGTCGAAAATTGGGCAACCCACCGATGTGGGGTTGCTACCCTTGCTTGGGCAAGGCTGGCAAAACAGTTCAATGGACAGGTTCAATGCTCTTCCTGAAATTGCTCCAGGTTCTTCACATGTGCATTGATTTCTGGCCTCGCTGGGGACCCAGGATCCCACGCCAGCTTTACTGACGAACTCGGTGGTACGGCACTTCAGGTTGCTGATGGTGTCCTGTGGAGGCTTCGTTGAAGCTTGTAGGGCATGTCAAGCAGCTGAGAGGCTGCGAGAACCTGAGAACCTCTACCTAAAACAGCAATGACTTAATGACTCAATGACTCAAATCAGAAGGGACACCGTGCGGATTGTGTTTGACTCTTGAGGCTGGCGGGTAGCAAAAGGTTTGAAGTCCTCTGCCAACTTCAACTTCAAGGTATTTGGGCAAAACAGCTACAGTAGCTGAAACCTGCAAGGGTTCTACCGAAATGAACCCAGCGACCAGTGCAGGAAAGAAAGCCGGACCACTTTGTTGCTGTTGGCTCCGATCTCCATTCTCACGGCCAAGTCGCTCAAACCCCCGTGGCACGTCGATGGTCCTTGGTGGCCAGCACCGAGGGGCACATCTGCACGGAGGTTCCCTCAACAGCCTGCCAGGTTGGAATGACCTTGCTGATAGCCCTGGCGTTCTTCTCCTTAGCGCGCTGATGAAAGTTGCGTTCACGAACTGTTCGGCCCGAGAAGTGTGGCAACCCGGCCGACACAATGCAACACACCATGGACCATGCACCATTCGCCAAAGAAACAGCTGGGTTGCCCAGTCAACCCTGCAAGCCTCCAACCTCCAAACGTGCATCTCCAAGAGGCCGCTTGTTCCTTGAGGCTGCCCACGCCACCAACCGCCTGCTGCGCCTGTTCAAACCATGGGAGCGTCCTGTGTGAGAGGACATCAACACTACCAGAAGCCAACAAGATGAAGTGGTCTCAAAATGAAAGGTTCAAGCCCAAGCTGATGATCGGAGGTGACGGCAAACACATCCACCCCCGAACCAACAAGCCTCCCTAGCCCAGCGGCCTGCGAGATGATATCCAAGCGCCTCGTGACCTGTCAAGACGCTGCACGGCGTCAAAAGCAGCCTAGCAATTGGGCGGAGAAAAAAATAACACGCGCTCTTTCTTGCGCAGATCATCTCTTGCAACGATCTCAGCAACTGCTTCAGTGGCAGCTTCTCCAACACTTCCGGGAGTCCTCGTCCTCCGCTGAAAATCGGCTGCTTCTCCAGCCTCAAGGCCAGCTGCTCGACGGTTGCCAGGTCCGACACCTGTTGAACCTCAAGCAGCTGCCGCGCCCAGCGCCATGCAAAGCCCGCGGGCGCGGTGAGGATGGACTTCACGAGCGCATGCTGACTCATGCTGCTGCTGGGGAGTCTCACCTGAGACATCTGCGATCCCAAGATCAGGGCTGAAAACCAGGGAGCCGATTCACTGTACCGGCTTAAGATTAAACCAATGGAGATGAGATCTGCCAGGTTCTTGGAGCACATCTCATGAAAGAGCCCCGTGGCCAAACGCCAATGGCCAGAGTGCTCAAAGGAAGCAGCCACCGAATTGTACATGATCTCATGCGGCCTTAAGAGGTTCTCCTTCATTTTCCCCAACATGCACAAGGACTTGGGCCAAAGGTTGCAGTTGGCATAGGCAGAGGTGGTGGAACTGAAGCTGATCTCATCTCGAGCAGGCTCCGTGGCCAGTGTCTGCACGGACCACTCCCACTGGCTTCCGCGCGCACATGCATCCAGCGCAGAATTCAGGCTGATCGTGCTGCGGAGTGCAGGCCTACAAGACATCATCGCGAAGAGATCCTTGGCACAGCCCCACCTACCCCACACCGACCAAGCAAAAGGAATGCCCAACAACACCTAAAATGCTCACCCGTTGTCAGATGCTCTGGGTTCCAAGCCGAATCTCCCACTTTACTCATATAACTACTTAAGTTCAAAAAAACATATATATATATATATATTTAATCTGCACAATTCAATTCTCAGATTTATCACACATGCTAACATCAAACTGCACTCTCTCGCTCTGCTGACTCCTTCAGCGCTTTTAGACAGCATCGGAGAGATCCAGTCTTGTCTCATGATCGGCCTCCCTCTTCCTACGGCAGGGTTAGGCTGTATGGTACAAATCATGGAAGATATCAACTTCCTTAGGACCAGTTCCACCTTTCAGTGGTATTCTCAAGAACACGCTGTGCATTGGCAAAGGTAAAAGCAATCATTTGCGTCAATTCACGATCCAACGTGACTAGGGTTTCCCTTGTCACGGACATTCGCTGTGTCCATTGCGGATTCAGATTGTGGGTGTCAATGTTGTCCAAAACGTCATCGATGGACATGAGAGCGGTGCGAACCTTCTCGCGGAAGATCACGTAGCGTTGAAGCAGATGCAAATGAGCAACGAGTTGCTCCATAGGGTGGAGGGCGGGCCAAAAGCAACACGCGCAAACTAAAAGAGGTCCCACCCACCTCTCCCTTGAACAGAGACTACGTGTCATGAACAAATTCCGAATACAAGCTTCCAAGGAACGCAATGAAACATCTTCGAATTGAATCAAGTTTGTTTCACTAAACTGAAACAAATACGTTTCGATTAAATAAGTTCTTTGTCAACTTCGTCAACTGCATTCATTATTTAATCTGCACAATTCAATTCTCAGATTTATCACACATGCTAACATCAAACTGCACTCTCTCGCTCTGCTGACTCCTTCAGCGCTTTTAGACAGCATCGGGGAGATCCAGTCTTGTCTCATGATCGGCCTCCCTCTTCCCCCCATTCTTCAGGAGGCGCTCAAAGGCTTGCTCGCTTCATCCAGCACTGACCTCAAGTCTGGCATAGGAACCCTTGAGGTTTCCGGCAACAATTCGTGAGGCACCGATCTTGATGGTGGATCAGCTATGTTGCACTCTGAAGGCACTCTAGCGTACCATGGCAAAACGAACAACTCCTCTTCGACTTTGGCGAGGTGGTGCACAATGTTGCAAAGAACCGGGTTCTTGGAATACCCCTTCAAAATCAAATACCTTGCGGCTTCATTGTCGATGAAACACAACAAATGTTTGGACCGCACCAGGTCCTGCCACACTCGGAAGGCGACTAGGACAACAAAGGCTTCAAGTTCTCCAATCGCCTGCTCCTGATCCTCAGCCATGAAGGATTCACAAAAGTCGCGGCTTGCTTCTCCACCAAACCAGCTCACTACACAACCAGTCTGGTCGATCAACACTCCACCGACACCACCCTCTTTGGCTTCACAGTCGAAGCAAGCGTCCGTGAACAAGAAGAAAACGTCTCCCACATCAGCTTTCACGAGACGAGGCTGGGCATTCAACAACCGTCCCTTGACTTGAAGCATGGCGCTCACCGTTTCATCGCTCAGTACTCCACGTTTCGGAGGGCGCAACACATGCTGGCCAAGAACATTGATCAATCGCTTGGTCGCCCGTCCAAAAAGTTGACCTTCTGCGAATCCCAAGCGGCCTTTGAGAGAAGTTGCTTCATGAGTGGTCAACCTTCGGCTCGACAGGGCACGATCGATCTGGTTCGAGAGGTCCTGCTTCCGCTTCTCCGTGTTGCGAACCATGACTCTACCCTCTGAGGTCTCGGAAAGATCAACCATCACCCCCAGCGCGGAGATCTCGTGGCTCATGCTGTCAGACTTCTCGCCACTCACGTCATATCTCCATCCCAACAGGTCCAGCAAGAGGCAGAACGACTGGTCTGTGTTCCTGGCTAAGTTGCTGGGGGCCACGCAAACGTAGTCATCGAAGTAACACGTGACCATGATGCTCAAGGAGTGAGCGAGCCACTGGATCAGCCTGGCGCATCTGAGAAATCCAATCACAGACGCCTTGGCGCCGAACGGCAAAGAGTGCTGCTGAAACACCTCGGTGATCTTGAGGCTCGGGTTGTAGACGGCCAGCCGTGCCCACTTCAAAGAAGAGTCTGAGACCGCCAGCTGCCGGTATGCACTCTTCAAGTCGAAACTTCTGCCAAGCAACTCGGGGTTCACAGACTTGACCTCGCACAGGCGCATGTACTCGGCAATCATGGCAGCGATGCAATCCGTTCCGTCCACCGTGCACTTGCTTGTGACGTTGACGGCATCATTGACTTGGCTCTCAGAGTAGTTGTCGATGGGTCGAACCTTGCCTCCTTGAACGACTGCGAACCTCCGAGACAGACGGCCATGGGGCACCTCAGAGGGTGGAAGGCGTGAGAGCCAGCCCTTTTCCACCTCCTCGCAAGTCTTCTTCCATAGTTCTTCGTCGACCTCACTGTCGCCACTGGACTTGGTGGAATGAAAGATGGCCTCGTTGCTACTTTTGGCATGGTCGGCAAGGTCCTGGATGGACATGGTCGCTGGCTCAAAATCTCTGGGCAGAACGAGCCCTCCTCCTGCCTCGCCAACCAAATCAAACCCCTTCTCGATGAGATCCACAATGCCGGGGTCCGGGTAGTTCATGTCCTCAATGATCTCCCTGAGCAGCAAGATCCTTTTTCCTTCGAGGATCTGTCTTCTATGGCTAGGCATCTTCTTGTGCAGGTCTGCTTCTTGTTTTCTGAGCTCCAGCGCTCTACGAGTCCATTTCTTGAACCATGCTGCTCTGTCGGTCACGATCTTTTCGAGCTTTTCGTTCACATTGCTACGAATGGCATTGGAGAGGTTGGAGTGCAAACTCTCGAACAGGTGCACTGGGTGCCCCCTGAGTAGCGCTTCTTTGATGAATGCTTCTTCACTCCATGGAACGCCAAATGCCACTTCAAACATGGTTGCCTTCTCACTGCTCTTCCCCCCGTCTTGGTGAGAAGGGGTCTGGGAGATGCGGAGGATGCGGGCATATGCTGGCAAGGTGGCATCGTCGGCGCCAAGGGTGGCAGGCAGCTTGGAGCCAACGCGAAACTTTGGTGCTCTCTGGAAACGTGCTGTTTCAACATGGCTGTAATCTTGCATAAATGCCAGGGACTTACGAGTTTGTTTGACTGTACTTGCCCTGGCTTTCTTGTCGGGATGTGCCGGCAGGACGGACTGCTCAAGGTCGAACTGTTTGGAGATGCTACGGAAGACGGCCGCTGCCCAAGCTTTGCATAACTCCAACGGGTATTCAACCTCCGCAGCTGTCGCGAAGCCTGTTTTTGTTCGGCCCCATGGCAAGTGTTTGTGATTTCCAGTGCAGTCACATGCCAACTCCTGCAGCTCTTTGATGTCGGTGGCGATCGCAGTTCTTTTGGGTCGGCTGCCACCGTACATGCAGGCACTGAACACGACGTAGATGGGCGTGAGATGCTGCAAAACCATTCTCCAAAATTTGGTCAGCCAGAAAATGGATCGCTCTGGTTGTTCTAGCGACCATCTGATGTTGTTGAAGTGGCAAAACAGAATCAAGCGACAACAGACCTCGTACACTTTGTTTGCTAGCCGAGCTCGTTCTGCATCGTCTCCTGTCAGCCATGGGAGACCTTCAGGGTATGCATCATTCCTCAAGGGCTGTGGCTGATATTCTCCATCGTTGAGGTCGATCTCGCGAGCCCGAGATGCAGTACCGCAAGGGATGCCCCAATGCGCGTAAGCACAGAGTGGATTCGATAACCAGCTCTTGGCAAGTGCTTCGCCATGTGGAGTTGTGAGGTCAACCTTGACGATGGGGCACTTGGATCTTGGTTTCACGACTCGATCGACTCCATAGCTGGAGGTCAAGCCAAGCGCTCGCAGTTGGGCCGTTAGGCCACCTGTACCGGAGCAAAATTCGATGCAGAACGGCCTGGTCTCTTGTATCTCGCCACCTTGTATAGGAACTGTATGGTGGTGTGGTGGCAGCCATCATGTTCTTCTTTGGGAAACTCTGCTGATCCTCTGCTTTGGAAACTGCTTTGACAGACATCTGCAGCAGAAGATGAGATCTGTGCTCCTTGTTGATCTTCGTCAGCAGGAGAAACTTTGAATTGAATTCTCGGGACGACATCATGCTTGGGCTCGTCCCCAGCCCACCCTTTCTGTCACTTATTGGGGCACGAGTAGTGGGGGTGGTTCGTGGCACACACGTGCACGCCCTTTTCGCACGAGTCGCCTGCTGCTGCCTTGTCACAACCATCGATGTTGTAGGCGAAGCACAACCGTTTGCCTTCTGGCGTGGCCGAGGCACAATTCTTCAACTGGTAGGGCAACTTCCCGGATCCACCAGTTTTGCCGCTGCCCTTCTTCCATTGTGTCTGCTTTGCACTCTTCCATGAAGAACTCTTTTCGTTGCTCCAGTTCTTCCATGACGCAGTTTCTGTTCTCTGCGTTGCCGGCTTCGCAGGCTTTGGGTGCGTCTTCTCCTGGGCTGTGGGCAGCATGTAGTACACGACTGTGTGGTCCTTGGGGAGGTTGTCGATCAAAGCGTCCAAAGGCCGAGTCCCATCTGCGTGGGGTTTGATGCCGTCGCGGCTCAACTCCTGAAGTCGAAATAATGCTTGACGGTCTGCCCTGAGCAACTGTGTCAACGTGGGTGCCTTGAAGTTTGGCGGCGGAGGCTGACGCATCAAGTTGAAGAGGTATTGAATCCATTTCTGGAAGATGTGAAAGTCGACCAAACCCATTGCATCAAAGGCAAGGCTCCGGCGCGTCATGGCCTCCAACAGGTCCAGTTCTGTGCCAGTTGAGCATTGCTGCTCTGTAATTGAATCTTTGACCGTAATTCCAGTGCCACTGGTGTCCAGCTTCAACTCTTTGGGTGGCTTTGCTGAAGTGATCTCTTGCATCCGCGTGATGCACTTCGACGGTGCCAGGTACTTCAAGGTGTCAGCCTCCATCATTCCATTCAGCTGGTCGTAGACCTGGTGAGCCACCTCCATGTTCCCTTCCATTGACAATCCTTGGAGCCTCACACGTTGATTGGCGATGCGTGAGCTCCGTTCTGCCGGTGGCATTTTCCTCAAGGTTGGATCAGCATTCGGGTCGGCTTGAGATCTGGCCAAGGCAACCACGGCAGTTTGTGCTTCGAAGATCAACCTCCTCATTGTTGCAAGGTCCCCAACCGTAATCCTGCCACCAGGGTCACTTGCCGTCATCAGGTTGCGAACGTCTTGTTCGGTGACTGGCGTCGCAGGCTGACCACAACTGAAGGCCAACCGCCCCAATGTTGTGACCCCGGCATTCTTCAAAGCTTGAATCCAACCATCTTCCAGCCCCAAGTTCGCGGCCTGCTTTTCAAACGCTGCAGTGCTCTCCGTGAGGTTGGTAGCTGCCGCCATGATCGAGGAAAGGCGTGCGAGCTTCAAGAAAACAAATTGTTGTAGCACATGAAAACACATGAAGCGTTCCTAGAACATGTCATTGAATTCACGTCTCCTTGAAATCACAGAGCCCTCAAGGCGGGATCGTTGCTGAGCCCTCATGGCCACGATCATCAAAGAAGAAATTGAGACAACTCAGGGGCCCTCATGGCGCGAATCGAACCGAACGGGGCTCCTCAAGAGCATTTGCCCTCGTGGCCCAAGCTACGTCAAACAAAGAAAACACTGCGACCTCTTGTCAAAAGAAACAGGACCTCATGTCACCCAAACAAACGTCATGCTTGCCGTTCTAGTGACCTCACGTCGAATGCGGCGGCAACTCAGCGAAACGCTCCACTGATGCAAGTTCATTCACCTCTAGCTCAACTCTCTACATTTTGAGTCGCTTTCTTAGGTAAAGCCTGCTGCCTTCAGATACGCCGACGCTTGCTGGCGTTGACTACATCTATCACCGACTTGTTGTCAGCATCTTTGAAACACTTGCTGCATTTGGGCCAGCTAAAGATCGACCCCTCAGCCAAGACGGTGAAACCGATGCCATGGAGTCCACATGACGTAACAGGCTGCAAATGGTTCTTCGGGTCAGGGTTCTGCGTGTGCAGCATGCGGCTCCTCTTGTTCTGCATCAAAGGCCCTTTTACCTCTGGCTCCAAGCCGCTCTCGATGACGCTGGCCTTCTCTTTGTGCAGCTCTTCTTCGTTGTCGGAACTTGCGCTCGAATCTTCACTCTCACTGGCGCTCTCCACGAAGTCTTCGCCATCTTCGTCTCCGTCATCTCGAGCACCTTCTTCTGGCTCTTCCTTGCGCTCTTCAGCGTTGCCAGATCGTTCAGGCTCTCCGAAGGGGTTGTTCGGGTCAAAGCCGGTGTCGGCAGAAACATCTTTTTCACCCTCCAGACCCGACGGACTCCCAAAGTAATCTGCCTCATCGTCACCAGGTGCATGTGGCTCAAACAACGGTGCCTGTTTTCGCACCATCCACCCAGAGCGCGTCCCGTCTGGTACGAAGTTCCCAAGCTTGATGTTGTAGACCATGGCGCAAAGCTCACGCATGGGCTGGCTCAACATGTCCCGACTGTAGCATGCCACACTATTCTCTTTCAGAGAATGATGCCCCAACAAACCGCGTACTGGCTCGCTCAAGCCGTATCGTGCTGCCCAAACCAGCAGGGTGCTCTTCAAGGAGTGAGTGGTTGTGGCGGCTTGGTCACCATCTCTGTATCCCAGGTATGCATTGATCATGTTCGTCCCCTCACTCGTTGACACGGGCCTTTTGGTGAAGCCACCGTCAACCGTAGGAGCTCTGCAGATTGGACCATGAGGCGGTCCCAGCTCAAGCAGCCCAAGTTCCTCCAGAACGACTTTCCACTTAAGGCCCCAACTGCCGCTGCCTATGCCATTCACTGAGGCCACATACGGCATGTACATCGCTTTCCTTTCTGCAGTGGTCGAAGTTTTGTGGATTCTGGTTCTGGCTTCCACGAATCCAAAAGGGCCATCACTTGTGTCTATCACATCGAAGAAGAAGTGGTGGATGTTGGCCATGTCGCTCCATCTCGAACGAGAGTAGATGGCATAGAGGATGCACCCGATGAAGTACTTGTCATACTTGTTCTTGACTGTGTCCAGCATGACCTCAAGCCTCAACACCTCTGCCACTGTCAATGGCCTAGCTTGTTCAGTCGGGTCTCTGGTCGCCAGAACTCTGCTCACTTTCCCGGTCAACATTGGACCCAGCACAGCTTCGATGTTGAACTCTGCTCCAATGATGTACTTGAAGAACTTTAAAGCATGGATGAGGTTCTTGCCGATGAACTTGCTACGCTTCTCGTCCTCCTTGCCCTGCAAGTAGTCGAGAAGGTTCCGCTCCTTGATGGGCCACCACCGCAGGTCATTCTTTTCGCACCACTTCACGAAAAGGATCAAGTCTCGAGCCCTCTTCAACACGGTGGAGGGTGAACGCACCCCGCACGCATCTCTGATGCACAGCAAGGCACCATCCCTGTCCATGGCCTGCAACTTCTCCTGAACGTAGTGACCAACTGACGATTCGAAGTTGCAGTCCTCGAGAACAATCAACCAACTTGCCAAAGCTTTAGTCCAGGTGAGATCTAACGTTGCTGCATAATCTCTGTCACACAGCGCTTTGATATGCTTTGCATATAGCGGCATGTCTCCAGGCAAAGAAGATGTGACACCTGTGACCTCAACTTTCAGTCTTGCGTCATCTGACGATCCAGGGGCCGCTCCAGCTGGATAAGCGACTAGGTCCTCGAGCGTGGGCAAGTTGTCCGACTTTGCTTCTCCAAAAATCTCCTTGGAGATGCCCTGCTCCCATGGCAAGGCAGGCATCCTGCGCCAATCGATGTCAAGCTCTGCTCAAAGATTGTCCTCTCATAGTTTGCGCGCTCCTTCTCAGTGAAGATCGGACTTTTGTCCAGCACCTGTCGTCCACGTGCCTGCCCATCGCCAGGCAAGCCGCCAACTTCAAAGTTCACTTCAAGTGGAGCCTCGTCGGCTGCCAACATTGGCTCTTCTTGTGGCTGGCCCTAACCAGATGAATTGCCAGCTTCGCGGTCTGTTCCATGAGGTGCTTCTTCAACAACAACGGCAGGCAGGGCTTCAAGCCAAGCAGAAAGTCCAGGTTCGTCCATGGCTCCCCACTGCCCAAAAGCAACACGCGCAAACTAAAAGAGGTCCCACCCACCTCTCCCTTGAACAGAGACTACGTGTCATGAACAAATTCCGAATACAAGCTTCCAAGGAACGCAATGAAACATCTTCGAATTGAATCAAGTTTGTTTCACTAAACTGAAACAAATACGTTTCGATTAAATAAGTTCTTTGTCAACTTCGTCAACTGCATTCAATATATATATATATATATATAACTCTCTATCACTTTACCCGATGCCAAAAAGCAGGAAGGGCTCTGACATTCGTCCCCTTTCGACCCCACCGACGTACCCGTCCACCCGGCCCCACCGAGCTTCCAGGGAGCTCTGCCACCGCTTTGCCGCGCCACAGGCCTTCACCGCGGCGTTGTGGCACTCGGTGCTCACCTCGTAGCGCCAGCGAGGCAGCTCCTGGCGGCCGGTGCCCCGTGTCCGGTGGTGTTCGGGCGTTGTGGCAAGAAGGGCATTGGACCGGTGAGACCAAGGACCACGGCCCGGTGAGACCAAGTCCAGAGATGGTTCAACGGTTCAACCACCATGGCAAGGTTCACCTGGGCTTTAACGGTTAAACCTGAAATTCTCGGCGCATGGGTCGGTTTGTTGCTCGGAGAGCTGCGCAACACCAAGGCGTCTCTGTGTCTCCATATACATTCTAATGCACACCGCACACCCATATCATATCTGCATGTCATGTGATGACCAAAATGTGGAAAGTGCCTATAGGGTAAGTCCAAGTTTCTTTCCAGGGTTGCTCAGGCAGACGGCACTTGTGCTAAAAGCTTTTGGGGTTGATAACACTCTGCAAGACTCCAAACTCACCATTGGAATTTGGAATGAAGGAAGGCCACTGAAACCTGAAGCCGCGATCAAGGAATCGCTCAGTTGACACGCCCATCTACAGCCCCTCCTCCAAAAGCTTCAATGCCATCCGCCACGCATGGCCTTTGGAGGCACCCTCCGCACGCGCAAACGCACTCATCAAAGCACAAGAGCATTCGCTACTGAGCTGGTCCGGCCCGATGCGACCACTCCGCCACCCGTGGCGGTGCTCGTTCCGCTTCAGGGTCTGCATGAAAGTCGCCAGAGCCAGTTGCCACAGCTGAGACTTGGAGATGGATGAGATCAAGGTGGTGACACTCACGGCATCACAGAGTTGTAGCTTGGACATGTCTTGGAAAAGACACAGTGCTGCTTGCCAGTGGCTGCTCTTCTCACAAGCACCCATGCCGGCATTGAAACAGCCTGCATCCACTGGATAGGCTGCCTTCTGAAAAAGGAATTCCGACCTTGGTTTGGCCAACTTCAGGCGCCCCCTGAAGGAAGACAAAATGAAAGAAAGCAAGCAAAAAGACCCACTTATAAAATCTTATAAAAAGTATCCGGGAATGGTACAGAACTCACAGCACGAGAAACGATCTTTGCCACTCGCTGCTTTCCCCCAAAGCCGCGAGCAAAGATGTCAAGGATGATGCATCCACTAGATTGCTCTCGCATGCCCTGTCGAAGAAGACCAGGGCTATTGGCCAATGGCTCGCTGATACACTGATGGCCGCACCATAGGTAGCTCTTTCGGGCACTTCTTCCTTCAAGATGATGCCCTCAAGGACTCCAACGGTCATCTGCCAGCTCTTCGTTCCGGTAACGAAAGCATTGAGGCTGATGGTGTCCGGCTGGAGCCCCTTCGCTCGCATCGTCTCCAGAATCTCGCGCGTCTGCCTCCAAGAGCCGCTTTCGGAGCTCAACCGTGCGCTGTAGCTGATGACGTCTAAGCGAAGAGCTGAGCAAATCATGGCTTGAACCAGCAGCGCCGTGGTCCGCCATGTGTCGTTGTGTTGATACAAGGCCATGAAGCTGTTCCAAGCGATGGCATCCTCAGCTGGAACGGTCCCCTTGGCTCCCATGTGCTCCCATCCTACACCCTCCGAGCTCCTTCGGCCGTTCCCCGTCCCTCCGAGCATCGGGCAAGCACCCCATGCCACGCGCCCGGGCAAAGCAGTCGGCCGCTCGGCGCCAGCGGCCAGAGCGCCGGCAAGCGCGCATCGCCAGCGTTAAAGCCACAGAATCCAAGGGAATCGAAGCTCGACACATCTGCTGCAAGGCGTCCAGTACTTGATCCCAGCTGGAAGAAACGCCTGCGGGCTCAAAACAGCTGGACAGCTGCCGAAGGAGCAGAAAAACACCAGAACAACCATCAGTGATGGAATGAGTTCATGTATACGGGGCCCGCTTCTTGTTGGCCAAACGAGGTTTACAATTCTCTATGGTCCGTTCTTCGCCTGGCGGGAAGTGAGCACGCAGATGGCTGAGGTGTGTGCTCGGTCTCCACCCTTGAGGGGCGACTTCGTTTCCAAGGCCCCTTGGCGCCAGGCCCGCCAGGCCCCTCTGCTGCGCACCATGATTCAAGCCGGGCTGAGCTGGAGCCATGAGGTCTGGATGATAAACCCTCAAGTCCTGCTCTTCCTAACACCCCCCAACTAACATAGGGGCAAAAGCATGCCCCCATTCAAAGCTGAACAACCAGGTGTTTGCTGCTCAGCGGGCTCAAGCCTGACCCGTCTTGTCCATCTGGGCCAGCATGGGGCCGAGGATGGTGTCAATATCTACCAGGTTTTCTGCCTGCGTCTTGATGGTCGCGACCTTGGTCGGCGGCTGCTCGGGTATCAAATAGAAGTGAACACTTAGAGAAGGGGCCTTGGATAAGGGATACCCTCTTGCAGTTTGACCACTCCCAAATTACCTGTCTGCTCTTCACGCATCCCTAACATTTCCTGTGAGCTTGAGGCCTAACATGTCCACCTGCCCCTCCCGAAACTGACATGAGGTACCTACTCTGTAAATAATATGTGAGCAACACTTCTTTCCTGGTGTGTCACTCAAATCTATATCAGTGAGCCGCGGTCGATATTGGAAGCAAATTGGTCTCAGGAAGGTGTGGGACGGTCAATTCTTGAACCTCTTTCTAATGTGCCACATTCTGCCACAAAGCGGCACAGCTTTGGAGGGATGGCCTTTGACCAGTTCCACCCACCCGGGTAGCATTCACAAATCCATCGAAGGCAGGCACGGGTATGTTGATGGCCCCAAAGCCCCCTGCAGGCAAAGCCACAAAGCCCTGGATCTTCTTCGAAATCCAGTCAAAGTCAATCCTCTCAAGGAGCCTCAGGTCCAACATGCGCACAGTCGTACGAGGAGCCTTGCGAACGAGCGGGGGTGGGCCCACCATCTCGGTCGTGGCCCCCCACCTTTTGCCGGGAATCCTGGAAGTTGCTCAGATCTCCAACGATCCATTCGCCTCCAAAGGCTTCGAAGTTCTTCACATCAAACAGAGTCCAGCCCAAACCAAACACCCCGCATCCCGGTTTCAATGAAGCAGCCTGCCCACTTTGCGCGACCCAAACCCACCAGAAGTACCCTGCAGGCAAAACCCAAAAGCCTGGTTGATGCGCCTAACTGCACAGAACGGACTGGAAGGTCAACCTGCCATGGTTTCGACCCGCCACATGAGAACAGCATCCACGATCGACAACGCCCCCTCGTTCTGCCCCGGGCGCTGGTTGTAATCGTAAAGCATCCGTCCTTCTCGCCCAGCCTCCCGCAGCCTCTGAGAGCGGACAGTGGACAGGCTGCCCGGAGTAGACGAGATCGATCGATCCCCTTGGAGTCAACTCCACGCCCTTCAGCTCGCTCTTGGGATGTTTGCGCCCTTCCAGGTGAGGGGTCCTACTTGCTCAACCCACGCCCACATGTTGGAATTCAGTCATATCCGGACTTGAACCCTTCAGTCTCTTAGCCAGGCTGGTGGGGTTGTCAGCTTGCGGACCACAGCCCATGCAAGCCTTCTTCCTATCGACTCAATTGTTGCATCAAACAGGCCCTTTTCCGTGGGTCACAGTCATGCACCCTCTTCGTTTTCAAAAATGATCAACAGGGACCCATCAAGACAAAAAAAAAAAAGTAAAGTCAGTACCAGGACCCCCTGTGTGTTTGGGGTTTCTGTAAGCCCCAAACAGGAGTCTTAGAGGTTTCCGGGGTGTCCATTAACCACCCCCTTGGTGACAAACACTAGAGATCCTTGAATTGACTGGCTCCCTCTTGTGCCCAGCTTAAGCGATCGGCCTCCGGCCGCCCAGCTTGGAGACGACGCTCACCACGGTGTCCTCAAACGGCGGACGGTCTTGGGCGCAAACCGCAGCACCGTGGGGAAGGAGCGAGGTCGTTTTTGGGAGAAAGAAACGGTCGAGTCGGAAACGATCCCATGGATTTTCATGGTCGAGTTGCACCCCGCAAGATGTTTGTTCTTCCTCTGGCTGCACCCTGTGGTGTTCTCCACGGGATTGTCAAACCAACGGGCCCTTTCGCCAGCGGCGATGGCGCGGCACCTCTGGAAGAGAGGCCGGAGGCGGATCCTGTCCTTGATCTGTGAGAAGATCCCTAAGGCCTTGTCCAAAGATGTGCCCAGCACATCCAAAATACTATTGCCTCAGCTCGGCAGGTTGGTCATCTGTTGGAGTTTCCATCCCTCATTGAGGCACATAAGACAAAAGAACTCACGAGTCACTTGATCCATTGACCTACAACCAGCACCCAGTGGCATTCAGATGTCCATACACCATCAGCAGCATACTGCGTGAAGCTTCAAAGCAGGAAAAATGGTGGGACACGAACTCACCGGTGTCTGTGAGTTTCTGGCTTCCTGCCAGCAATTGTCTTAAGAGTCCCTCCAAGTCTCTAATGTTTCCAAAAATCGTGAAGAATGAGTCGAATGTCCGACCTCAATATACATAATTCACTAGGGTAAGAATCCAACACGTCCACTGCGAGCGGATCGAGCCAGAGATGCTACTGATGATGGACCTCACGCAGTGCACAAGCTGCGAGAGCATGCCCTGGTTGGTGGTGATCTCCATCGCACCGCTGGCTTCTGAGCGAGAACCGGCGAGGATCGGCGAGGGGCAGGAGCCAAGGACCCCCAAAGAAACGCGTCCAACAAAACAAACCATCCATCATCTTGGCGCCAACGGAAATGGATCCAACGATTGGCGCCAACTCTGAGAGACCCCTTCCAACCCACCAAGACCTGCATCCTGGGAACACAAGGAACCCATTCTTAGGTCCCGTGTGTGTGTGGGGAACATACTCGAAGAACCTGAATGGGGGGAGGAAGACCTTGCAGCTTACCATGCTGACCTGAGGTTAAAAGCTTTGAGTCGCCCGCTGTGTCACGGGAAGCTTTGCATGGCATCTGGAGGCCCAAAAGCCCAAGTCCAAGAGGCTGGCAAAGGCCGGCTCCAACGGCTGGAAATCTGAGGCACGTGCGAGAACGGCAGGGTTCCGGATGCGACGGGGTACTCAGGGTACTCAGGGTACTTGGAACTCACCTAGATAAATCGGTCATTCTGCCGCACTTTCATGGAACAAAACAGGCAGAACTTCGGGGCATGGCGTCTGACAAAACAGGTGTGTGACGGAAAATGTGGCAAGAAGGAGTCGAAAGCCCTTCCGTTTGTTCAAGCTGCGTGTACCAGCTGCGTGTCAGCAGGCGCAATCACGTCAGCAACGTGCAGCTCAAGCATTCTGAGTGGGATGCACAAGCATTTTCCAATTGAAATGATCTGGGGAAGTAGAGCTGACGCCAAGCCGAGGTGGAGGGAGGGTTCGAACACGCTGGAGAAGGAAGAGTGGGGCGGATGCTGCCAGAATGACATGCTGAGAGTGAGAAAAAGACACGAACGAATGCAACATACCTCGCATGCGAAGTGCGGTACATGTAGCAGAGCTTGCGCCTAATGTCTTTTCGCTGCATATAATCAAAAATAGAATAAAACGGATGTTTCACCTGCCTTGGTTCACCGATGTTCACCTGCCTTGGTTCACCTGCCTTGGTTTCGGATATTCAGGTCTTGACCACACACGAAATCAAAGAAGAAACACAGTAGACTTGCAGTGGTTACTGTACGTATATTATGTGTATATAGTATGTGTATATATATATACATATGTGTGTGCGTGCAACGGGAATGGCCAACTCAACTTTTAAAATCCTATCCATCTTTTCGATTCCTTCCGCAGCGAGGCTTCAAACTGCCACTTCCTTCACTTCTTCCATGCGGGAGATGGAGTGGCCAAATTCCTGCTGCACTCGCAGCTCAAAACTTGAAAGGCTGCTTCGCAACAGGCTCTCGTTTGAAAGTTCGAGCCGAATGCGCTTCACTAGGTTGGCAGCTTCCTGGCGCACTGCCGACTCCAATTCGGAACTGAGGATGCCATAAGCCAAGTTGCCCTCTTTAGTTGCCCCGGACTGTGCCAACCTTTCTTCGGCCGCATCTAACGCCACCAAGACCTCTTGGAGCACCTCTGCCTTGCCTGCTTGAACAGCCCAGGCTACCGTGGCCCAGGCCAGCTCAGCATGGCGTCGCTCGTCCCGGGCGACCTGAAGCAAGAACTCGCGGACGCCTTGGTGAGAGGCAAAGCGAAGGGCCAATGATGCTCTTAAAGCAGCTGGCGTCTCACCGAGAATGGCCTCGAAGACCGTCTGCTTTGCCAGCTCCATGAGACTCACGGGAGCATATTCCAAGCCATTCAAAGGGCCCAGCTGATAGCCTTCACCAGACCATCCCCGTGCCAAGGAGAAGGCCAATTGGGCATGCCGCACCTCCTCCCGGCCCGCTTCCAAGGTGCGATCCACCAGCTGCGCTGGTGCTGCCAGCTGCATCAACTCCATGACGACCCGAGCAAAGGAGGCCACGGAGGCATGTTCCGCCAAGCCCACCGAAACGAAGTGCGACGCTAAGTCTGGGCTCACAGTCACGGAGCCCCAGGGGTGGCCCTTGTTGGGGCCCGCGCTCGGGCTTGTGCCGCTGGCGCCGGTCCAAGTGTCCGGCTGGCTGGATCGATGAATTGAGGCCACACAAGTTCCGTTGTCGGTCAAAAAGGCGCGTCCATCGACTGCGACTGCTTTGTCATAGAGTTGGCATGTGCAGTTGCCATCCTGGCCCAGGAAGGAGACATTTCTGCACACTTCACCATCGCAAAGGCTCTCATTGCGACTATTCAGGCACCAACTTGACTCAGTATCATTGACATTACTGGGATCATTTGAATAATACTGGCAATCGCACCCCTGGTAACGGCATGGTTGGGAGGTCACTGGGTCGGGGTCGCTTTCAGTGTCACCACAGCCTTGGAGCATCACACAAAGGAAAAAGGTGGCAAGACCTGGCACCACAAGGCCGGCCGCCGTGCTGGCCATGGTGTGCTCCACTCGTCTCGCTTCAAACACAACAAGTTCACTCTCAGAACGGCTTGAGCAGCAAATCGGGGCGATGGTGGTGTACGATTGCACAATTGATGAGAATGTAGAGGTTCAAAAGAAGCAACTAAAGACGTCTACATCCTTCCCCCTTGACATACCAATTACAGTACCTTCTGCATGCGCGACCCGGCCGGACCTCGCCTTGGTAGATGCCCGTCATCTTGGTGCCCAGCTCCAGCATGCTGGTCCAAGCCTGGCCTGTCAGCTGGGTGCCCTCACCGATGTAGCCATTCCTCAGCTGTGGGGCCCGATGAATCGGGCTGGGCAAGCGCCAGGAGCGTGACTGAAGCTTGTTGGGAAGGTGAAGCACTGGAGTTAGGGTTGTCTACAGCGTACTCTGCCCCAAACCCCATAGGTTCACGACGTCGGATTCATTCATTGATGTACAGTATTCCGGTTTGTGATCAGGGTATTTGAGTGGTTTCGAACCTGAAATGGGATAGGCGGAATGCATGCCAAAAGCCACACCTCCCACATCTTCCATTCGCACCGACGAACTAACCCCAGCACCCTTCTCACTGAGTCCAGCAGCGCACTCTGAATGAGGCTCGCCGCCTCCTGGACCCCCACGACTTTGTTGGAGACCTGCCAGGACCACGGACCACTCCCCTCCAGCTGCCGTGCAACCCGCGAAAACACGGTTCATGTTCAGTGGGCATCGCAGCTCGCCTGGCTCACGGTGTCCTGACACCACTTGGCTGCACCTCCGATGGAGTCCGTCAGGCCGGCAAAGTCAAAGAGCCGGCGGCTCACCTGGGGTCGAAGGACGGCCCAATCGCGCCCAGTCGAAGGACGCCCCAAATCAGAACGGAACCAGAAGCTACGAACGGGGCTCCTGGCCTTCCTACTGGGAGCAAGGACGCTACATGGGGTGGCCCCAACAAATGAACCACTTTCGCCATCAATACTGTAGCGTCTTGGACCGATCTCGGGTACTCAAGTGCTTTGCCAATGTCGGTCTGCCTGATTGCCGATCTCTGGGCAGTCCAGAACGGTGATACGAGTAGCAGTGATAAACAGAGTGTTGTGAAATCAACCCGCCTGAGGAAACCTTGGAATTCTGGCTTTGCCCTCACATCATGCACCAGTGCCCCACATGTCCATGAGTCATGGGCCTCCAAGGCTTGCCTCGACACGGGGTCATCTCCATATTGCTCAGTGAGCACCTGCGCTCACAAATTGCTAGAACACATGGCTGAAAGCAAAGCCAAGTGGATGCACGTAGATGTTTTGGGCTTGTTGGTCGACCGCCCAACTCTCCAACGTTTAGCAAAATGTCTCAACTCTCCCTTGCCTCTAGGAGCCGTCGCGGATCTGAATGCCGCACCACCTCTGGTCAAGAAATTGTTGCTCCCTTTTCTATGTCCGTCTAAGGCCAGTGCAGGTGCAAAGTGGAGTCTCGTATTATACAGTCTTTATGCCGTATCCTCCCCCAGCACCTCCAAACCAAACAGTCCCTTGGCCCCCATGTATTCATTGCCAGGTGTGTGTGCCCGTGTTCGCTTTGAGTTTGGGTGCTTCTGCCCCTGCCCGAACAAGAGAATTTCCGTGCTCTGCCGCCCATGTCCATATCCAGCCAAACTGTCCAGAAACACCACCTGCTTGGAACTCTCTCCAAACAATGTTATTTCCAACGGTTTCGACTCTTTTTGACCTGAAGGTTCCCGAACCGCACCTCTGACTGCTCGACGAAGCCTGGCGCCGCCAGAAGCCCTCGCACGGCCAGAAGGCCTGGGAGGTCCGTCGAGGTGGAGGCACCAAGCTCACAAGGGAAGGTCAAAACCCGGGCACCCTGGATGAACAGGGAGGTCAACCTCCCATGGTTTGGTGCAGGTTGTGATGGCACCAGGAGCCCGACCGGATTTTGCATGGTTTTTCCCTTCCGCTGGTGGACCTCGTGGACTGGTCGGAAAGGCTAGAAGCGGGCCGACGGCCGGGCGAACACGGATCCAACGACCCATCCCCACAGTGGCTCGCTTCAACGTTGGAAGGAGGATGCTCCACTCGCAGCCAGCGTGGCTGGAGTTCCGTGTGCGCCGGATGGGAATAGAGTGTCGACGCAGGGGGCATTGAAACGACCGCAGGAGACTTATGTTGTGTCTTCCTTCAACGGGTCAGTGCGATAGTCGTTGGCAGCATGGCAGCCAAGAAAAGTGCTGGGAAGACTTTTCTGTAGATCCATCCCATGGCGATTCCCCTGAGCAGTCAGGTCTGAGCCCCCAACACAGGCCAGCACGAAGCACCATCATGGGCGATCTACAGTCTATGCATCATAAAGACCAAAAACAGCCAGGGATATGAAACATGCCCTGTCATTTTCAAGCCAAGATCTCTCAAAAGTGCTCCAGAACAACATCCGCAAATGCTGCTGTGCAACTCCGTGGCTGCTGGACTTCGACTCTTTCCCCCTGAAGATCATTCCCATCTCTGCCCCTTTGGGCAGCCGACCCGGATGGGGCTCTGGCCAGGGCCCCTCGGCGCAGGAGAGGCGCCCGAAAAAAAGGGAGCGCGGCCAGTGGATTCAGTGGCCGAGCTGTACCGTTGTCCAGGGTTCAGTGGCGGACAAGTCCACAAACACCGAATAGATGCTCCAGTTCAGTTCAACCAGCAAAACCCTGCATGTTGAGCCAAGAAGCCTTTTTGGGCCCATGGTCCCTCTATAGCCCCAATCCCTGGTGCCAAATCCCCTAAGGCGTCGTGCGCTCGCTGGGTTGTTTTGTTCACTACCTTCAGCAGTGAACGGTCCGGTGGCTCCTTTAAGTCTGCTTAGCAGGTTTGGAGCCCCGAACTCCCGCCAACCGGTTCTTAAAAAAGCGAATCTTCAAGGTGAAATGTCTGCAAACCCCTATTCTGACAAACACTTTCGGCGCAGCGCCAGCTATGCTGACTGAGGGGTACTTCGCATTTTGGTCAAAGCACTCTTCATTCAATCAACTTGGTTGGCGGGTGGCTAGGCCAATTATTTCTGAAAGAACACCTCAGCTGGCGTCCAGGGCCTCTCGGAATCGAGTGTAATCTCGCACCACCTGGACGGAATCATGGAAGGACTCCTTCTGCAGCGCATCAATGGCGGCATGCACCTCATCCTCCTCCTATCACAAAACTCTTCAGCCATTCCACAGCTCAAGCTGCTCAACAGCACTTCACTTCATGCCATGTCATGTCGTTTTGAACGGTAGTTTTTGAGTTGAACACTGCTGACTCTACTTCAAAAGACGTTCTTAAACTGGCCAGACTCCACACAACCCTCCGAACCCTCATCGAAACAACCTGAAAGCTCCTTGATCCCGGCCAGCTCTTCACTGATGGTACTGTTCGGTTCCTTGTGACAGCTGAAGCCCCCATTCAGCGCTGCGAAGAAGGCCGGCACGAACTGCGCCTTACGCGAGACTAGGCCTCCGACCTCCATCAGCGTCTCTTCTGCCCGGATGGTGTTGCCTCGTCCGAACGGACGAGCACCGTCAACACTGGTGTAGCAGCACCCCCGCTCGAGAAAAGCTGGCGCCAGGGCCTTCCAACACACACGGTTCAACGCAACCTGCTGAAACAAAAGCTCAGGAGACGTCCCACGGCGTCCCATCTCCCCAAACGTCCCGCCTGGCGCTTTCAGGCCCGGCTTGGCCTCGCGCAAAGGCTTCTCGGGGAAGGCACTCTTGGCGAGCGCCAGCTCGCGGCCACCGGCCACCAACAAGTAGCTGAGCTGCTGCGTGACATCCACCACGAACAAATAAGCGAAGTCCAACTCCTCCAAAGCTTGAAAAAGTAAAGCCAAACCCATGACAAATCGCTGAGTGGACCTTTGCCTACCATGGGCAAGCTTGGTGTTTTCAAGGGCGATCCGCACAAGGAAAACGGCTGCAAAACCCCTCCAAAGATTGAAAAAGTAAAGCCAAACCCATGACGAATCGCTGAGTGGACCTTTTCTTACCGTGGGCAAGCTTGGTGTTTTCAAGGGCGATCCGCACAAGGAAAACGGCTGCAAAACGCCTCCAAAGTTTGAAAAAGGTAAAGCCAAACCCATGACGAATCGCTGAGGGGACCTTTGCTTACCATGGGCAAGCTTGGTGCTTTCAAGGGCGATTCGCACAAGGAAAACGGCTGCAAAACCCTGCATTCCCACCATTAGAATAGTCCAGAAAAACCTATGTGATGAGATGGGAGAAAACCCAGAATTCTATTCGAGCGTCCGGCATTGGTCGAATCAATATGACCTTTGGAATCCATTTCAGGAATGTGTTTGCACCATGTCTGGCGAGCATCCTTTCGGCGGTCATGCTGCCCGTTCTTCAGTTGCCCTTTCTCCACTTTCAGAATCCGCAACTCCATCAGGAGTTCCTCAGGCCACAAGCTTCGCAGCTTCATCTGCCGTCAGAGAGTTCCAAAACCGCTCACCCCAAAAAAGTCAGAGTACTGCAGAGATCCAAAGTACTGAGGACCTTCCTCTAATGTATGCCTTTGCAAGAAGGGTGAAGCCTTCAGCCTCCCCGCACTCTTCGCACCGGTCCGCGCGGCGCGTCCCACCGAGGCACGTCGGCGACCTTGAGGACCGGCTCGGTGTCGGTGACCTCGAGCACGGCAATGCCCACCTGCCAGGAGGTCGGGAGGGCAGGGGCGTCCGAGGGTGGTCACGGCGCGAACCAAAGGATGCTAAGGAGGACAGGGGGTGGAGGAGACGTATGTGATGGTGCGACTTAACAAGACGAACATCCCCAAAAAAAAAGACACAGGAAACTGGGGCGGTTGGCCGGGGCGCCCCCGCCCCGCCTTCCAACCATTGGCCGTGAAGTCCTTCTGATCACCACGGGTCATCTCGTAGGCGCCCAGTCCTCCGGTTTCCCGGGGCCAAAAGAGGAAGGATGGAAACAATAGGAAATAATCAAAGGCCGAAACGGCCGTTGAAGAATAACCAAAGGTGGCAACCTTGTGACTAGTGCTGCCTGTAGTCATCCTAGCTTGCACTTGATAGGAAGGGAGTGGGGAGTCCAACTGACTTTGCAGTTATAATGCCGCAGTTTGGGGCTCCAGTTGCTCCAGGGCCTTTGGAAGCTTCAGGGCCTGACTGCTGTGCATCCTACAAGAATCTGGAGTCTGGAGACTTGAAAACTTGAGAAATGACAGAGTGTGCCCCAGGTGGTTGGAACTGTTCCAGTTCCAGATCCATTGTCAAAGAGCTGCCAGCTGTCCCGGGGCGGGGGGATCAGTTCCAGTTTCAGATCCGCTTCCAGTTCTAGATCCAGTTCTAGTGCAAGTTCTAGTTGTCACGTCAATTCCTACGATGAAATTAACATGTTTTCTGGGTGGGGGGGGGTCCTGTTCCAGATCCAGTTCTATTTCCAATTCTAGTTGTAATATTTGTTTTGTGTGGGGGGGAGGAGGTCCAGTTTCAGATCCAGCTTCAGTTCCAAATCCAGTTCTAGATCTAGTTAGTTGCGATCCCAATTCCTCTGATAAAGGAAATCCATAAAGTAATTGGTTTTATGCATTTTCTTGGGGGGTGGGGGAGTTCCAGTTCCTGATCCAATTCCAGCGGAGAACGCTATGAGAAATGAGGCACTATTACTATTAGTCACTATTAGCATGGCCATTGGACCCAGGAACAAAGAAGTGCTCATAGCACCCGTTCCCAAACAAAGCACTGCCCGCCCCAGCCCCCAGTCCCACAATCCACTCAGTCTTCGCACGGAACATCTTCCGTGCCAGCTCGTCCGGGTCGTCGCACTCGCCCAGGATACACAGCACCGTCACGAGAAAGCGGTCGGCGTTGGTGGTGGTCACGCTCTGCAGGTTCAAGGTGTCCGACAAGATGGCAGCCAGCAAAATCCGCGCGATGGCCTGCGGCAGCTGCCAGGCCATATCCGGGATGCCCGGAGCCAATTAAAGGAGGAATGACAAGGACAGTTTCGAAAGGGGTGGGCTGCCTACCCCTACCAATGGGAGGAAGAAAAATCCTCACTCTTAGGTAAGGGTCAAGGGGCGTCACCTTGTTCAATCGGGCCATGAAGTTTTTCCCCCACCAAATATCCTTCGAATTGTTCCAGCTCTTCGCCCTCCAACCCGAAACCCCAGCGACGCCCCGGGCACCTTGGGAATCATGCGGTTTCCTCGGATGAAGGCGTGGGTCACGATGCTGCTCATCGAGCCCCAAGGCCTCCATTGGAAACTTCGGATTCGTGGCACGGAAGTGTCAACCCCAAGGGACCCCAAGCGTTGAACCAAACAATTGCAGCAGCTCAAAAGTTGAGTGTTAACAAGAACTCCGAGGCAAAAGGGCTGTGCAATAGGCCCCTTTTGGGGCTCGAGAGAAACAACACACTGATGAACCACCCAACTTTCTGACCTATTTCATGTTGGCGGAAGAGAATGACCCAAGAATTAATGCAGTGGCCTTTGGTGGTTTGTCCACTGGCAAATCCGTCTCCCTGCGCTGAGTCTCTGGGAAGCCGAAATTTTGGGTGGTTTCCTTCAAGTCAGCGGGGATTGGGCGAGCTCAACCAATTTTCAATTCAACGACTTCCTTGTCATGGTCCAGTTCCTGAAAACTGCCCAAAGGGACACGACTTCCACGCCTCACGTCCATGAACAAAGGCTTTTCCGAGGCCATGGACTCTGCCAGCGCGTGGTGGTCGATCAGCCCGATGATCCGCTTCTTCCGGTCGGGCGCGTCACGCAGGGAGGGCACCATCTGCTTATCCTGGCCAGTGGCGCTCTGGGCGAGAAGAAGGCGTGCAGGTCACGGGTAAGAACGACCTGTCCCTGGAACATTCCAAAGACAAAAGTGCCAATGAGTTCCTCAAAACCCAGTTGATGAAGACGCTCCGAAACATGCAGTGCCCCCGAAACCTCGTTGTGGTCCACCAAGCACACTGGCAGCAGCTTGCCCGCGGCATCCGGTTTCGCTGCTCCGGGGTGATCGTCGAAGAAGGGCGGCGGTTCCAGGCCTCAACGGAGGGAACAGCGGCGCCTCTACCACACGCTGACCCATGCCCAAATTCCGACTCATCCAAGCCAAACATGACTCTAGATTGCATGACTATGCACCATTTGACAAAAGGTTTCATTGATGAATCAATTTCCGCACCCGCATGTCCTCCCACCTGCCCACTTCAAGGCATACATGATCTCCCCGTTCAAATCCATCTCGGCGCGAGTGGCGGTCCCCTGCCACAAACACGCGCCGCCTATAGCTCCCGCAATGCTGTCCAAGTCCGTCTTGACATGCCCCACGAACAAGGCGCCCTGCAAGATTTTTTCCACACACAACTGCTCGATGAAGGCTTCAGCTGTGGGATTGGCCACTTTGTCCTGAAATTCTTCAGCCAAATCTTTGGCCATGGCCCGGTATTCGGCCAAAGCTTCATCTGTCTTGCTCATTTCCATCAGCATGCCAAATTTTTCCTGGGCCGAGTGGTTTGCGAATGGTTTGGGTTTGGACACGCGACCTGCCATCGGTGATCGGTTTGGGTCAAATGTCTACCTTTCCCCTTTCGGTGTGCTTTCAGTGCCCTGCCCACATGACAGGTACGTCGGTCAATAGTACACGTTGTGCGGGCGGAATGCCACATTGCAAAACAAACCATGTAAACATGCAAATGGTCCTTTTCGGCAGGCTTTGAAAGCTGAAATGGGTAGACTCCGTTCACGGATCAGGCCAAACTATAGGGCTGTGGGCTATACATGGAACCCCTCACTAAAAAGCCAAGCCTCAATGTCTTTCTCAGTTCGGGCGGACTTGCCACCCGGACTGTCTCCTCCACCACGTGGTGTGGCACCGCCCGGCACTTCGAGGTGAGGGAGCATTCTGGCACCTTGACCATCTCCGTACAGCCACTCGAGCAATTGGTCAGCTGGAATCTCTCCGGCTTCGTTGGGTTTCACATGTTCGTACCTTGGACCAGGTTGCATGCTTGAGGTTGTGTGACTCAACACTGGCTAAAGGGCTGGGTCCCAAAACCCATTTTGACGTGCCAAGCTTCAAGATTTCAATGCCATCCTCTCCAAAGAGCCTTTTCAGCTGATCAACTTTCAGCGCTTGTCCTTGTGCCAACGCTTCGGACAAGCGTGCTTTTGCACGAGGCACTGCCGCCATCGCAGCACGTGCGGGGCTCAAAACCTGTGTTTGAGGCCAAAGCCTGCGGCGCGTCTCTGCCACAAGGTCCGCTGAACAAAAACATGTGGTTACCAAAAATCAACCATGGATGCTCAATCCTCAAACGCAATTATGCTGATGCTATTGCGCTTGCGTTGCCGCACACTACAATTCCTGACGGCACGACCACACTCAATTGCGGAATGCATTTCTGATATCCACCCACCATATGACCACCTGCCCCTGTGACTGCCCACACCTGCCCTCTAAAAGCACAATGATGAGCCCCAACCGCAAAACACATCTAACATGTGCCGAGGTTGGTTAATGCATGGGTTCGATCCAGAATGTTCAGGCGTGAGGGGGAGAAAAAACGAGGGAGAGGATGTTGTTTCGTTGAGTTCCCGTATTATATACTGGTTTCAGCTGCCCTCATGAGATGCAAAGTGTGCAGGCAGCTTCCGGAAGAACGCTCTCCAAGACCAACCCGGTTTCCTTCATCACGCAGCTGGCACAACACAAAGCACTCCAACATCCCCTTCCGCCACTGATACCCAAAAATGGTCAGCCCACAAGCCCTCGCCAAGCACACCAACAATGAGGGCACCCACCTTTCAGCCAACTCCTGGCCGAAACTCTCCCCCAAGAAGGCAGCTCAGTCAGTCAGCAACCAGCTGGACGTCGTGCGGAAAAGTTGCACAAAATTCACTCCGAATGTTGAATGGGGCAGGTTTTGGAGCAGGAACAACATGTGAGACAAATCTAAGTTTGCCAATGCAGTAAATGTTCAAACCTTTTTGTGTGAAACCTGTGCGAACAGGACCTTCCGGTTACTTGCAGGTTGGAATTGGCAAGTGGACAGGCCACCTTGTAGCCGTGTTTTTTAACATCTTCTATTTAAACCTGCGGCTACTGTATAGAAAGGTGGCGGAATTCGATGGTTTCTATCGTAATAGCGGTGGCTCAGCAGCGGCGGCCTCCAACCTAGCAGCGTTGGCCTCCAAGCTCCAGCTGACGAGCGGCCCTGCATTGTGGATAGGTCAATGCGCTGGCCTCTGACCTAGCAGCGGCGGCCACTAGCGATGGCCACCTTTAGCTGGCCTCCAAGTTTCAATGGCCAGTAGTAGTGGCCTCCAACGTAGCAGTCGCCTCCCACCTAGCAGGGGTGGCGTCCAACCTAGTAGCGATGGCCTCCAACCTGAGAGCGGCGGCCGTTAACGGAGCCATGTCCTGCAATGTCTTCTATTTACACCTGCCCCTATTTTATTGATGGAGGAATGCGACGGCATCCAACCAACTAGTCAGGGGTGAGCCAATTTTTTTCATCCATGTGTGAAAAACCCAAGCGCGCAATCACGCACTTTTCAACTGTGCCGGTACGGCCTCGGAAGGTAAAGTGTTCTACCCCATGGTTCTGTCACACATGGGTCCGTCCTCGGTGTCCTGAATTTCACACATCCCGGGTTGTAGCATGTGTGACTTCCTGTGCTGTCTTTGTGTGCGCTTGGCCTCTAGCATGCTTTGCTCCTCCATGATAGCATAGCTATTCGAATGCAAGACATGACGAAGAAGCGTTGGCTTGACTGTGAGTTTTGTCATACAGTCTACCAACATTTGTTTCGTATCGATCCAGCGCATACTGACTTGGTGTTCTTTCACATCTCTTCTCAGCAACAGGACCTCGATTGCTTGCCGCTTGTCTTGAATCATACCTGTGTCATTTCGAACATGATCATAGAGAGGCTTGTTGTCGGTGACCGCAATGACATCCACATTGTTTCTCAACTTGTCAATGTTGTTCAAATTGTATTCTGAATTCAAAATCTCTAAGAAAAATTGCTTTGTCCATACGGCTTCAGCCACACCTTTTGAAACAGTGTACAATTCAGCTGCTAAAGTGCTGCTGACTGCCCTTTCTTGTTTCTGACTTTTCCACTTGAGTGGTGTCAATGGTGTTGCCTTGCCCTCATGCATTGCCTTTGTTGTGGCACAAACCATGTATGCAGATTGACTCTTCAAGTCTGTTTCCGTAGCCCATGATGCATCTGCTGTCACCAAAATGGTGAGTTGTTGTAAATCAATTGGAATAACCTTCACAGCCACATGTTTAAAATCTCGAGCCTCTGCAACTGCTTTGTTTGCTTCTGCGATGTGCTCGACAGTGCCATTCTGAATGTTCTGTTGAATCTTGGCTGTCATGGCTGCTAAGTCTGGTCTCGTGGCTGTTGATAGCCAGTTCAAACCGCCAGCTACTCCTCTAAGTTGACTCTTCTCTCGTTCGTTCAATGGTTGGTCTTTTTCTCTTTTCCGTTCTCGCGAAATCTTGATGGTGTTCAACTTCTCTGCATACTCCTTCTGCTCTATGGTGAAGCCCTCGTCTGTCCTGTGAATTTGTCGTCCCAAGAACTCTCCTCCGTCTGTTTTCCAATGTTTAAAAGGATACAATGCTCTCAGTTTGTCTGTCACGTGTTGCTTGAACATTGCTGTACCTGTACAAATCAAGTCATCAACGTGAACTGCCAAAGAACCATGGTATTCTGTATCCTGCCAATAATGGAACAAACATGGGTCCAGGCACGACTGTCTCAGTCCAGTGGAGAGTAGGCTACGAGTCAGCTTGTCATGCCAGGCCTTTGGAGCATCGGCTAGGCCATATACCGCTTTCTCTGCCAGTAGTAAGCTTCCTTCAGGTACTCCAGGCATGCCTCCCGGTGGAGGTTCAATGTATAGAGGACCTTCGTCACGATGTAGTTGATCTCCTTGAAGGAAGGCTCCTTCCACATCTCCAATGTTGAGCGGCCAATTCATTGAGGCACTAACTTGCAGGATAAGACTCAATGCCTCACCCGACAGGGTAGGTGCCTGCTTCTCGAGCTTGGAGATCGGGGTCTAGATAACCTCGAATGCACCATCTTGCTTTCTTCTTGTACTTGCCTGGTTCCTTCTCATCTGGCTTCTCCGTGATGACGAAGCGGGTCAGCTCTCTTGCTTTCTTCGAGAACCAAGTCTTTGTTTTTGTTGAGGCCATCCCAAATGGTCACCTCATATATCTCATGTTCTCCCTCCGGAATGTCATGTTCCAGGTCAGGCATCTTGATTTCAAAAACAGAGTATCCAGTCCACTGTTGCAATTCTGTGTGTTGCTGTGCAGGTTTGTTGAAGTCTTCGTCGATCACAACGGTATAGCCATCAATACCTTCTGCTCTGATCAAGGAATATCTCTTGCCTGTCAGCCACTGAAGTGGAATAGGACATGTCTTCTCACTTGGTTTGAATGGTCCTTGTTGATATCCATGGAGTCGGATAAGGACTCCATCATCCCAGGAAATCTTCCACTTCCTTGTTTTGTCTGTCCACTGCCCTGTATCCATTTCAGCCTGCAACGTGTCATGGATGTTTCGACTCTGTCTTCTCCCTGTATCAAGTCGGCTAAGGTCTTGTCTCATGGCCCTAGTCAGTGGTGTTTCACGGACGGGTCCATAACTGTTGCTGCTTGTCACCTCTGCTGGTGATGCACTCGGCATGTCTGTTGGTGTTGGATGTGTTGGCTCAGTGGATGTAATCATCTGACCTGTGTTGTTGTCCTCTGTGCTGTCCACTGGTTCGTCTTCTGGTACCTCAGTTGGTGTGTATGAAAGGCTAGGTGTTCCTGTTGGTGCCTCCTCCTGCATAGGCACTGGATGTGTTCTAGGCCCATCATAAGCATCTGTTGATAGATCCTGTAACTGCTCGTTCTCTTCACGTTGTCTCTTGATGGTGAAGACAGTACATCCTGTCCAGTCTGCTTGTTTGTCTCCGCCGCCAACCTCTCGCCAGTCATCAAACATCTCCTTCTTCACTGCGATCATGTTTTGGTAGTTGATCATAGTCTTTCTTCGACTGTTCAATCTAACCAAATCGATTGGTGGTTCGTCAGCTTCCAACGGAACATACAGGTGGTTTCGAGGTTGTACATGTATTTGCCTCTTCAGTTCCCAATAATCTCTTCCACTCTCAGCCTCTTCACTAGGCGGTCGCCGGTCAGCTGAGATGTCGTGGTACGTGGCTACACCACGCTTGGAAATGACATGGGACCAATCTATCAACTCCTGAGGAATGAGCCGAATGCTGGCTTCATCTTCGGCTCGCAAACGACGGAGTTGTTCAGGAGAACATTTCAGAACCTTCGTACCAAAGGAAACCCAAACCTTATCATGACCACTCGACCCGATAACTGTTCCGGGTCCCCTCCAAAACCAAGCCACCGAGCTACCGTCTTCCTTCTTCCTACCGGGTCTCCAAACATACACCTTACACCCAGGGTAAAAAGGCCCTCGCTCCGGTCGCGTCCGTCTCTCAACCGCACGACGAATCCGATCCTCGCTGTCGGCATCGATGAAGGCTTTACGGGCTTCTTGTCGCATCTGAACGGATCGAACGAAACTAGCGTCTCCAGCCAAATACCCACTGTTGACACCCACATGGAGGTTGTCCTCACCACCATACACCATGCCAGGAATTCTGGCCTGCTGACCAAAAACCCTTTGGTGGGGGGAGTGACCATCATGATTCACCATGGCATTCTTGGCAACATTGACCTGATGGATCAGCTCTTCCGCCTGCTTCTTATCATTCGGGGGAAAAACACTGGCCATCTTCATGAACATGGACTTCCACGTGCTTCCGTGTCTCTCGCAAAACCCGTTTTGCCAAGGAGAAAAACCCGCGCTACGTTCATCCGAGGTCCCGTCCAACCAAAGTCCCTCCTGAAAGGGTCCCTCGAACTCCGACCCATTGTCGGCAAACAAGCGTTTCGGCGCTCCGAACGTGGCCTTCCAATGTTTCCGATAGGCTCGACGAGTCTCTTCGGCGTTTCGACCGGCCCACAACGGCATGACCAAGTGGAAAGAGGTACCCTCGCAGATGACACTCAAAAACGAAACCTTTTTCCCCAAAATCTCCAAGTCGAACGTGTCGCAGCAGACCCCGGAGTTGAACTCGAACGTACGGCGGACCTTACTGACCTTGGGAGCTTTGAGTCCTTGGTGGCTTTCACAAATGGGACACTTATACTCCCTAGCGTACCTCAAAGCACTCTCGGAAGCTCCGGCATGCTTCAGCATCAAACAAAACCTTTCCGCGCTAGGGTGGCCTAAGTTCTGGTGGGCCCGTCGAATGCTTTCCCGAACATGATGTTCCCCCTCATGTTTTCCAACAGCTTCAACAGCAAGAACCTCACTCCTTGGGGAGTGCCCTTGTTCCCTTCGTTGTTTTTGTTGGACAATGCATTCACAAACCACTTGACAAAATTGCCGAGGATACACTTGCGCCAACCTAGTCCTATTGACCCACTTCCCAGCATGTCTCACCTGTCCCTCACAGACCTGATGGTCATGGTTCTTATCGCAGGTGCGTCCCAACTTGTCCATGATGTCCTTGTCCATGTTTCCTATAAGTCTGGTCCCCTTTTTTATCGGAGTCCCGGTGTCCACGTCTTTCATGCCGAACATGCACATGTCCAACACAACCATGACGACTCCCTCCGAACCACTCAGTTCACCCAACGCTTGACATTTCCATGATCGAGCATGAACCGGATGTTCAAAAAGAAAGTATCTCCCCTGTCTCAACTGCAACTTGCACACTTCGATGCCAAAAAGGAGCAGGGTCATGGCCTTCTTTCTTTCATCTTGTTCTTTACTTTGGTCCTCACATGGTTGCCGGATCGTGGAAAAATAGGTGCATGGGGGGCAAACAATGCAAATCAGAGGTTTCGTCTCCGCGATGCGTCGATACACCTGGTTTCGAATTTCGGGGTTCAACAGGTCATCTCCTAACTGCAGGTCAAAACAATCACCACCTCTCAGTCCATGGTCACGACCCTCATGGGACACACGTGGGACAGAAAAAACCTCGCAGATGTCAGGACCTTCCCAGCCAGCATCCTGGCAGCTCTTTTGCCATGCCTCGTGACAGTCATAGCTCTCTAGTGCCTCAATCACACGTCGGAGCTTGCGACGTGTCTTCCTGTTCATACTTTGTCCTTCTATGTCGGTGATGTCAGTCACCCCGGACTGTGAG